CCTAATCTCATTATGCCTGTAGAGCAGATTGAGGATCCATCAGTGAAGATAAGGCCCCCCTCGAAGCTCATCCAGTTTATCCGGAAGAACGTGAACGTGAAGGAGGCACCTGAGAGTCTGAGAGCTGTGAAAAAATCCCACAAACCCGAGGCGCTGCTGAATATCAAGGACATCAAGTGGTTAAACGAATTTCTCATCGAGTACAGAAAGAAAACAGACACCAAAGTGTACATTCACGAGCTTCTGGAGGGAGCTGATGTAATCCTCCCAGAGCCCAAGGTCACACCAAGAAATCCAGTGCTGGAGGCGAGAATCCAGAAATTGACAGCTCAACAATCAGCCAGGGAGTACGAGGCGATGACCAAAGGAGTGGATCCCATCAGAAAATATTACCCCGAGGACACTATCTCATATCAAAGTAAATATCAGTCGAACTTCCTCAAGTTTTCGATGGAATTCATATCTTTGCAATTCTCCGACAATTTTATGATTTATTTTACCAATTGTTTAATGTTCTATTTGTTGTGTGGATTCATTAAATAAATTATTAACTTTCTTGATTTCAGTGAAGGAAATTAATAAACAACTCATCGCTGTAGCCCAATTCGTCTTCTCTGTGATAGCAGCCTTTGCATTTGGTTTCATAGGACTTGAGCTCATCGTTGGTAGCCTAGATTTTGGTTTCAGATTGCTGTTAGGAATAATCTGCGGCCTCATTGTAGCCCTCGCCGAGATCTACTTCCTCGCGAAGAAATTGAACGAAGACTGCTGGGAGCCCCCACCACCCAGGGTGTTTACAAAATCCCATCAGGAATAATTAATCATTATATCCGAGATAATTTTCATCCAGTGGAATTTCAATTATAGCCAAGCATGAGCCTGTAAATAACTAATATCGTGGGATTGAATATATTCTTCTCAGAAAATATCCATCGTAGTCCCTGGTCTCTTATTTCTTCATTCACAGATAAATAATCACAGATAAATAATAATATATATATGTATTATGTTATTGATTAGAAAATGAAAATTAATTTTCATTACTTCTTCCTTTCCAAACATTAAATTTCAAGTTTTATTGATTTACAGTCTGATATTGTTTTATTTTTTAAGAAATAAATAGTTCACCACATACTCGAGGTATAAATATTTATTATTTATTTGTTAAAAAAGGAGAGAGAATTTTTTATTCATCACGTCAAAAAAAAAAATGCAATTACTCTACTTATCACTTCCACTCTCGTTACTGGAGTCACTCTTATTCGATTCCGAATTTCCGTTCTCCTTGTGATCCTTTTCACTCCCTGAGTCCATCGCCTCGTCCTTGGAGCTGTCAGAACTCGATTCACTGTCACTTTGGCTGTCACTGTCAGAGTCAGTTGAACTCTCCTCAGAGCTAGATCTCTCTGCAGCCTCTTTATCAGCCATCATCTGTTTAAATTGTCTCACTGTTATTTTCCTCGGCATTATTTCCTTGAGGAACTCCAGAGTCTCGTTCGTTTGCACCACCTCCGCCAGGTGTTTGTAATCCAGACTCGAGCTCTTCTTCGACTGCTTGTGGGCCTCCTCTGCCATGAAGTGAACGAACATCTCCTGGAAATTACTCTGGATAAAACCAGTGACCTTGACAATTGAAGGTAGAATAATTGAGGAAAACGACTACTTACAGTTGCTTTTGTAACTAGAAATAATCCATCCTGTCCAATGGACTCTACGTGTGGTGAACTCTTCATAATTGTCTTCACCCTGGACATCGGCAGGCGAAGCTCTTTAATTTTTGGAGCTGGTGATTGCTGGGCCATTATTAAACCTCTCAAGAATCTTTATCCAGGGAAAAACAAATGAAAATTCTGTCAAAACACTTCGATTTAACGCACAAAATGTCAGATGTGTTTGAAGATGTTGAAGAGCCCGCGTTGTGTTTGTTTACGCTTATTTGCAGGTTATGTCAGCATTTTATGACGTCACAGCGTCAACAATCGTTTGAATTAACGCGCGATTTTTTTTTCTTTTAAAAAAATTATTTCAAAAAAAGAAAAACCATTTAAAATTTTAAAAAAAGAGGCCTCGTCATGATTTCTCTTTTTGTTTGTCAGTGTTGGTTTATTATATCCGCTGATTGGTTAAAAAAAAATTTCAGTTCTCAAGAGAATTTGAAATACCAGTTTTTCATAATAAAATCATCTGTTTTATTGAATCCTCAGCTTCGCCTGGGAGTAAATTTTGTGGATAATTTGTTTATTGTAGAAGGAAATAAATTATCCGAGAAAAATAAAAAAGAAACGCTCCCGGGTGGGCTCGAACCACCAACCTTTCGGTTAACAGCCGAACGCGCTAGCCAATTGCGCCACGGAAGCCTTGATGAAAAAGAAATCCAACTCGAATAAGAACCTAGCCTAATTTCACTCCTTTGCCCCTGAATATTTTCTTCCTGTCCAACCAATCATTGATAAAATCACCAATAATTACTCTCAATTATGCCAAGGATCCGGTTTCGATCCGGGGCACCGGCGGTCAAAAATATATAGCGCTCTGATTTCACGGTTTCACTGCCAAGCGGTAGTCCTGTCAAAATGACGACTGGACCAGGGCAGGTTTTTCCCTCAGATGAGGTTTTCCCTCCCTTTCAGCAAATGCGGTGCAGGGGGTTGGGGGGTGTTAAGGGAACAAATCGTAAAAACCCGAAAGGGTATACGAATGAAAGAAAATTTTTTTTTATATTTCTATCTTAACAAATGTTAAAATTCACATATAAAGAGTAAATAATTTCAACTATCTAGGGTGTTGGTGCACCACCTGAAACCTGATCGTCAACCTGAGCGGCAGGAAGACATGAAGAAAGATTTCCATTCGGGATATCCTATAACTCTGACCTTCTCCTCCATTCCGGCGATATTACGAGACCTAGATGATGATCTCCGATAACTAGTTGTCGTTTTGTAAAAATGGATTTTCTGTAATCAATATTGATAACGATTGATATCGATGATGGAGATACTTGATGATCAGTTCAGTAATCCGGGAATTTCTTCGGCGACAACACCCGCGATTTCACGTCCGAAATGCTTTCGACCCATTGAGTTGTGGATTTCATTTTGAAATGGAGAATAAATTCGCTCCAGTGAGTCATTTATCTACTGAACTAAATAATCGCCCTGATTAATTCTGTTATGTACCTTCCAGGGGGATAATGTCTGGTTTAGTAGCCCGTCTAATTCCGGGTTTACCATTCTGGGGGGTAAAGTCTCCGCAATTGATGCCAGGATTATTACAATCCAGGATGACGATGGAAACGTAAGTTCCTGTCTGATTTCATCGGTTAAAGTAGTTTATTCTAATCTTATCAGCTATCGGTTCAGGCGCTTCTCCTATCGCCCTTTCGGATTGAAACATGCGTTAAAAGATCGAGAGGATTAAACCGGAAAGAGAAGAATAATTAATCGCAAAGAAAGGAAACGGATATGGCTTCATCAAATTTGAATGATTCAATTTTCATTTCAACTAGATCGCTGGATCGTATAATTTATTTGTTATAATTGTTATAATTTAAAAAAATGATGCAACATTTCTTTTCTATAGATCGAAATTCTGAGGTGTAAACTTTACAATTTTTTCATTCATACTTCCTATTTATTTTTCGCTGTAAAATTGACGAATATTTATTTGAAAGCGAAAAAGCGGTGAATTTTCTCATTAATTTTTATGTAGTCCAGAAATTCATGAAATACTCGAATGAATTAAATCCCATGACAGATGTTGGCGGTTCCTCGGGATAAAATAATTAAGCACATGCACCCGACATCAATCTCGGGTGTCGAAGACATGATAAAACTAGGAGATCTCCAGGAGTACGCGATCCTGAAGAATCTCCACATCCGCTACAACAGAAACCTGATTTACACCTACACGGGAAGCCTCCTGGTCGCGATAAACCCGTACCAAATTCTGGACATCTACACCCCGAAGGAGATATCGCTGTACAGAGGTAAGAAGATAGGGGACGAGCCACCCCACATCTTCGCCGTCGGCGACAACTGTTTCACGGAGATGAAGAGAGCCAGAAGGAACCAGTGCATCGTAATCAGCGGTGAAAGCGGTGCCGGGAAGACCGAGAGCACGAAATTAATTCTCCAGTACTTAGCGGCAATCAGCGGTGAGCATTCCTGGATAGAGCAGCAGATCCTGGAGGCGAATCCCATCCTGGAGGCATTTGGAAATGCCAAAACCGTTCGCAACGACAATTCCTCGAGATTCGGAAAATACATCGACGTGAATTTCAATAAATCCGGATCAATCGAGGGTGCGAGGATCGAGCAGTATCTCCTGGAGAAGTGTAGACTGGTGCATCAGTCCGAGGGGGAGAGGAACTATCACATCTTCTATTCGATCCTCGCAGGACTCTCCAAAGAGGAGAAGAAGAGATTGGGTTTGAACGACGGAGGGTACAGATACCTCTGCGGATCTTCAGAGTGCAGAGGACGAAATGATGGGAAGGAGTTCGCTGACGTTCGAGCAGCGATGAGGATCCTGAATTTCTCCGAGGAAGATTTTCACAGGATCATTGAGCTCCTGTCCTCCATCCTCCACCTGGGTAATTTCAATTACAAATCGTCAGTCGTGTCCAACCTGGACAGCTGTGATATCCAGGAGGACGCAGGTGTCAAGACAACTGCTGAAATCCTGGGGGTCAGCGTCAAAGCCCTGAAGGAGGCCCTCACCAGGCGGACTATCTTCGCCAATGGGGAGAGAGTCGTCAGTTATTTGTCTAGGGCACAAGCCGTCGCGGTTAGGGACGCCTTCGTCAAGGCTGTCTATGGCCAGCTGTTCGTCATGATCGTTGAGAAGATAAATCTGACGATTTTTAAACCTAAAACAACCACCAGGAACTCCATTGGCGTACTCGATATCTTCGGGTTCGAAAATTTTTATCACAACAGCTTTGAACAGCTCTGCATCAATTACGCTAATGAACATCTCCAGCAATTTTTTGTAAGACACATTTTCAAGATCGAGCAGGAGTATTATAATGAGGAGGGGATATCCTGGAGGCATATCGATTTCAAGGACAATCAGGGGGTTCTGGATTTGATTGGAATTAAACAGCTAAACGTTATGGCTCTCATTGATGAGGAGAGCAAATTCCCCAAGGGCACTGATCTCTCACTTTTGGCCAAGTCTCATCAAATCCATTCTGCTAATGACAATTACGTTAAACCCAAATCGGATCTGGTGCAGGCGTTTGGCATTCGACATTTTGCTGGGGCTGTTGATTACGAAATTGGGGGGTTCCTGGAGAAGAATAGGGATACATTCTCTGTGGATTTGAAACAATTGATTGGAATATCTTTGAATAAGTTTCTGAGGGGAATATTCCCGGAGGAGATGTTGTCAGTTGACGGAAAAAAACGCTCGCCCTCGTTGTCGTCTGGTTTTCGATTGTCCCTGGATCAATTGATGAGGACTCTGGAGAGCTGCAATCCTTTCTTCGTGAGGTGCATCAAACCGAATGACCAGCAAAGACCTGGGGCTTTCGATCGTGATCTCTGCTGTCGACAGCTGAGGTATTCTGGAATGATGGAGACTGCCAGCATCAGGAGAGCTGGATACCCCATTCGTTATAGTTATCAGGAGTTCATTGAGAGATTCAGGGCTTTAATCAGGGGAAAAGCCCCAAAGGATCAGAGAACAGCCGCGGAGATGATCTGTAAGAGTGTCTTGGGGGAGGCTAATCTCGATTATCAAATTGGAAGGACGAGGGTTTTTCTGAAGGAGGAGCAGGATTTTATCCTGGAGAGGGAACGCGAGCTCGTCATCGCCAGGAGTATTGTCAGAATACAGAGGAATGTGAGGAGATGGATCGCACAGACGAGATATCTGAAGATGAAGAAGTCAGTGTTGATTATTCAACGAGTGTGGAGAGGTCATGGCCCTCGGAAGAAGTATCTGAAGATAAAACTGGGGTATCAGAGGCTGCAGGCCTGCACCAGATCACGTATCAATACTCACGAGTTTCGCAAGAAGCGAAAAATCATTGTGGCACTCCAGGCATTGGGTCGTGGCTATCTTGTACGCGATCTGCATAAAAAAAAGGCCCAATGGCGAGAGCAGAGGCTCAAGGAGATTAAAAAGCTCCAGGTGGACGAGGAGAAACGATTGAAATCGAGTGGCAAGTCCGACTGGAAGACAATTGCTGATAAAAATCATGAGAATCGACTTCGGGAATTGCGAGAGTCACTGCTGCAATTTAGAAATGGAGCACCATCTCCAGCGAAGGAGTCAGAGACCAACATCGATACTATCTTCGAATTTCTGAAGGAGGAACCACCCGCACCAGGAGTCAAGGAATTGCCTGCAGATATGTACGCTGACATTCCTGGAAAGTCCCAAAAACCAGAAGATTCCACGAGTGTCTTGGAACTCCCTCAAGAAACAGATGAGTCCGAAGACCTCTCTGCTTTCCACTTCAGTAAATTCGCTGCCACTTACTTCACAGCGAACGTCGCACCCCAGTACTCAAGACGTGCCTTGAAGCAATCATTACTCGATCTGCCACTGGCCTCAGATCAATTATCAGCCCAGGCATTGTGGATGACAATCCTGAGGTTCATGGGGGATCTCTCGGAGCCGAGGAATCCGATAGACATCCCCGAGAGAAAAACCGTCATGTCGACAGTCACGGAAACCCTCTCGAAGGCCTTCGCGAGGACGAAAGACTACCAAAACCTAATGAACGACAATAAAAATCAGAATCATCTAGTTCGAATGACCCTGAAACGCCAGAATAAACTCCACGATCACATCAGACGAGGAATCCTCGAGGATGAGTTCGTAAACGAGAGCTACGGCGATTGGCTTCATACCCGAAGTTCAAATCTGGAGAAACTGCACTTTGTGATTGGCCACGGAATCCTGCGTCCTGAACTCCGAGACGAGATTTACTGTCAGATAGTGAAGCAACTGACGAATAATCCCACCAAGGCGTCTCACGCCAGGGGGTGGATCCTCTTGTCGCTGTGTCTGGGCTGTTTCTCACCCTCTGAACGCTTTATCTATTACCTCCGAGCTTTCATACGCTCAGGCCCTCCAGGATACGCCCCCTATTGTCACAAGAGGCTCATCCGGACGTACAAGAATGGCTCAAGGACACAGCCTCCGAGCTGGCTGGAGCTCCAGGCGACGAAGAACAAGAGTCCGATTCGCCTGGAGGTGACATTCATGGATGGAACATCTAAGACTGTTGAAGTTGATTCTGCGAGTACCGCCCAGGAGGTCGTGGAGGCCCTCGCCAGGAGCATTGAACTCCGAGATATCTTTGGATTCTCTGTGTTCATCACAGTGTATGATAAAGTGCTGTCCCTTGGGGCTGGGAGGGATCACGTGTTCGATGCTATTTGTCAGTGTGAGCAGTATGCGAGGGAACAGGGACAATCTGAAAGATCAGCTCCCTGGCGACTGTTCTTACGGAAGGAGATATTTTCTCCGTGGCACGACCCCACCCTCGATAGCATCGCCACGAATCTCATCTACCATCAGATCACCAGGGGTATCAGGCAGGGAGAGTACAGATGCAGCAGTGAAGGTGATATCGCCATGATGGTGGCACAGCAACTGTACATCGACCACCAGAAACGCATGACGAGGGACACCCTGAGGAGTGTTATGCCCCTGTACATTCCCGCTCATCTTCTCCAGGGGGTGGTTAAGGAGGCGCTGAAAAAATGGGAGATAATTATACTCACAGTCTACGAGAAGAACATAAACCTGATGGAAGGTGCCCCAGCGAGCAAAGCCAAGGAGGACATCGTGATGTTCGCGAAGATCACTTGGCCCATCCTCTTCTCGAGGTTCTATGAGACCTTGAAGACGTCTGGTCCCGAGTTACCCACGAACAACGTGATAATCGCTGTGAACTGGACTGGCATTTACTTCATTGACGACCAGGAGCAAATGTTACTGGAGATGGCTTTCCCAGAAGTCGCGGAGGTCACCGTCCAAAATTTTCACGAGAACGCTTCCAAGAACCTCGTGATAACGACAGTGCAGAGGGATGAGTGGGTGTTCCAGACATTTGATGCTGAGGATTTGGCGTCACTCATTAATTTCCTGGTGGATGGTCTGAAGGAGCAATCAACTTGGGTGGTCGCCACCCAGGAGTACATGAACAACGTGACAGCAGCTCCAGGGGAGACGTACTTGTCCCTTCGACGAGGTGATATGGTTAAATTAATCGGTTGCAAGGGCCAATCGATACTGACATCTCAGTGGGGATATGGCGAAAGGTCTGATGGGTCTCAGGGTGAATTTCCTTCGGAGTGCGTCTACGTGATTCCAACAGTTGGAAAACCCTCGCAATCTATCATCGATATCTTCCGGACTGATTACACGACGAAAAATACTCTAGCTCGTAGGAGAATCGATAAGAGCAATCAGTCACGCTCTTATTCGTTGAGGAAATTCGCTCAGGAGCACTTCAGACAGAGTTTCAATGTGACCATCTCCAAGGCATCGACGATATCCTCAGCGAAAGGAACAGTCTCGGAGACTCTGTTTAAACACACTAGGACACCGATGAAGGCCGCCCTTCTGGCTCGAGTCTGCGAGGATCGGGAATTGTCTCAGCTCGCTGTCACCATCTTCACGAATATCCTGAGGTACATGGGGGATCTTCCCAGTAATCGTCAGCGATTGGGGACGGAGTACACGGATTTGATATTTACACCTGCTTTGGAGCATTCTCATCTTCGAGACGAGGTCTACTGCCAGATTATTCGTCAATTGATGGAGAATAAAATTCGATTGAGTGAGGAGAGGGGCTGGGAGCTCATGTGGCTGGCCACTGGAGTCATGTCGTGCTCTACGAATGTGCAGAAGGAAGTCGTGATGTTCCTGGGGTCTTCTGGCACCCCCATTGCTGTCGACTGCTTGAACAGATTAAACAGGACGTCGAAGTATGGAAATAGAAAGTATTCTCCGTATATTCTTGAGGTGGAGTCAATCAGGTTCAAGAGTCTCCAAATATTCCACAAAATTTATTTCCCTAATGATGTCGATGAGGCCTTTGAGGTACACTCCTCCACGAAATCCGGGGATCTCTGTCAGAAAATTGCGGATAGGCTGCAGCTGAGGAACTGCGATGGTTTCAGTCTCTTCGTTAAAATATCTGACAAGGTGTTCTCGGTTCCCCATGAATATTTCTTCTTTGATTTTATTCATGAGCTGATGGAGTGGATGAAGAAGTCTAGACCCACCAAGGCAGGTGTCACGCAGGTTCAGTACCAGATATTCTTCATGAAGAAGTTGTGGGTGGGGTGCTATCCAGGGCGCGACCCCAATGCTGACGAGGTATTCTACTTCCATCAGGAATTACCGAAGTACTTGAGGGGATATCACAATTGCAGTAAACAGGATGCCATTAAACTCGCTGCTCTCATTTATCGGAGCAAATTCGGAAATGTCAAGGACGAGCTGGCACGTGTACCTGATAAACTCAAGGAATACGTTCCTGCGGACCTGGTGCATGTTTACAGATCCAGTGACTGGAAGAAACACATCTCCTCGGCATTTAAGGAACAGACAGGTAAATATTCAATTTGAGATGCTTCAATAATCTGTGATAACATTATCAAGAATAAATGAACAACTCCATTATTTATTTACTAGAATTGATCGTGAAAATAGAAAAAATATAGAGTGCATGTGATAAAAAAATTTCGACTCCATGAAGAAAATAAAAATAAATTTGAAAAAATGGAGTAGATAATGTCAATTGAATGGAAATAATTTCGTTGTGATTTCAATTAGGAATGACTCAGTACGACGCAAAACTGCAATTCCTCCAGCACATCTACCAATGGCCGACCTTTGGCTCTGCATTTTTCGAAGTAAAGCAATCGACGGAATCGAGTTTCCCCGAATTTTTGATAATAGCAATAAACAAAAACGGTGTAAGTGCCATTCACCCCCAGACAAAAGAAATCCTTGGAATGTGGAGTTTCACGGAGCTGTCAAACTGGTCCTCCGGAAATACCTATTTCCACCTGACGATAGGAAACTTCATGAAAAGCCAAAAGATCCTCTTCGAGACAGCTCAAGGGTACAAGATGGACGATCTAATATCATCCTACATCAACCACCTCAAGTCAACAATGGAAATAAAGGAATCAGAGAGATTGTAATTAAACTCAAAATTCAGGATTTATTTGTCTTAATACTGACGCATGAGTAGATTATGAATTATGAGCATGAATTGCATGAATTATAAATACTATAAATACGTAGATTAAAAATTCTCTTCATCAATTTCGTAATTATACTTGATTGCACCGAGTACGTCTCGTACGCCCTGTCGAAGAAGCTGGAGTTGTGATTGAGGATTTGAACGACTTCCGCAGGGACAGGAAATTTTCAAGTCCCCTAGCTGGTGCTGGTGGTAACAACCAAAGAGAACATTAGATCAATTTGGGATACGAAATGTTCCCATCAGTCGTTACCTACCCCAATTGATCATCTCTTCCGATGACGTCAATCATTTAAGCTCAGATGACAGTGATCTGTTGTTTATTTCATACCTTCGGGGAAGTCCGGATGGCTGTGCGCTAAAAATACACGAGCAAATTATACCTCTTCCTCAATTAGAACGAAATTAAATCAATTGTCCAATTGTCGAGAATTCAAATGAACTGACGCACTTCTCGGTATCGCATAATCGGAGTCAGAAGTTCTTCTTAAAAAGCTTACCCGCGGCGTTAATTCCACAAGTAATCTCGAGAAACTAGTGTCAGATGACCAGTCGCTTCCCTTTATAAACCACAGGATGACGTACAACTGTCATCGGTGATAAACCGAATGAGAATATAAAGAATAATGAGATGAAATTAATTGAACGTCGTACGATTCGCGGTGATAACCCTGTGGAGAATTTTTTTTACGAATCTACGTTTCGATTATTTCCGTTTTTTAATTCATGTACTTAAATTGTGCAAATCTACATAATTTATTAACACTCTCGGTTGTGGTATATTAGTCTATGATATTGAGAATAAAATATTCGGAAGAAAAGTATTGAGCGAAAAAAAAATCATTAAATCGTTGAACGAAAGAGAATTTCATTAAATGTGCAAAATCGGTTTGCAGTTTTAATTAGTTATTGAACTTAATTAGAATCGATGGGGAGGCAGTAATTGCCAAGGTCTTTGGTTCAATAATCCCGAAGAAACAAATGCGAACAAACTGACATACGTATTGGGGAAAATCTCGTGATAACCCCGTCACCAAGGAGCCTGATTATTCTTAATATAGAATCAACCCGCAGGTCAATAATTATAAATTAGAGGAAGCCCTCGGCTGGATGTTTATTATTTTCATCGTGTCCTCTCCGGGTTTCTTCCTTTCACTATTTTTTCACGTGTCCGGGAATCCGGAGATAATTCGGTGATAAGAGCGGCTTTTGTTGAGAGAAAGGCATTGGCTTTTCCCCTTGTCTTATCCGAGTTCATTTAATTTAAATTTATTCATGTCAATTAGTTTTTTTAATGAATATTTCAACAGAAGCAACAGGAAATAAATAAAAAGTTCAATTAATATTCAATAAAATTGGCTAGCGAATGCGTTAGATTTTGCAGTAAAAAATATTTCAGTTAAAAAAATTAATTGAAATATTTGTGGAATTCGAATTCAAGTTCAAACGCAAGTGAATAATTCGTCGCTAATTTATCCGTTTGTTTTTCCAACGGAAATGTTGGTAGGGGGAGAATAACAAAATTGATAAGACCTTTCGTTTTTTATTAATCATTATATATTTCCACACAAAATAACTTTAACAAAATCGAAAGCAATGATTAAAGAATTATTACTTAAGAAATATCTTTGGGAATTAGTTCTTGTACTTTTAATCAAAATTCAATTCAAACATTAAATCCACCTACAGCAATTAAAATTATGAATGAGTACAAAAATTCCGATGATTTTTCTGAATCTCTAATTCACTCATAAAGTAATTAATTCAGATAATTGAGGGTTCATTTGGATATAAAAAAAATTCTACTTTGCGGAGTTGCCAGGATAAATGATCTGAGCTGTTTGAATAAAAAAAAAATCCAGAGACAAATGAATTTGACAAATTCATTTGAACAATTTTTATCCGTCGGTTTTCGAAATGATAAGAGGGAGAACAAACTAATAAGATAACATACAAAAACATTAATTAATACGTTAGACATGATATCTATATTATCAACTATTAAAACTGCTTACAGGAATAAACGGCACGTACGAAAATTATCCCGGATCAATGATCGAGATCTAAGGAATCTGATAAATCTCCGGGAGTTGATTTTTGTACTTGCCATTCAAATTTCCACACAGACCGGCAATATTTCCCTGAAGTTTACGATCAATCATAACCGTGACGCTGTTCAACGATTGGAATATCGTGATTGGAACGTCGTTAATTTGAACAGCAGTAATTCCGCCATAATTAGTTAATTTAAACACCCAAGGCCATTGATCCCGAGGAACGAACGTTCCATTGATCAACTCGTTGACAGCAAAATCCTCGTTATTGATTTTAATCGAGTAATCGTTACGATTCGGTGAGAATTCAACGAGATGCTCTCCGAAGAACAGTTTGAGTCCCATGATATTGTTAACACTCTTAACAAATACCGCGAAGGATTGGGAGTACTTGTCGCCGATAGCGAGTGTCCATTCATCAGACATCGAGTGAGAAATTTCTCCACCGTCGGATGTCAGGACAACTTCTGGATACAAAGAGCATAATCTGATGGCGTTACTCCTGTAGTTCGTGATGAAAGTGAAAGGGAATCGAGTGTTGTCCAGAGGACTTATCCACAGATGTTTATCAGGATCGGGTCCGAAGCCCTGATGACGTGGTGGATCACGTTCCATTCCAAGCCAAGACTTTTCAGATACCTCAGCTCCAACGATATCCCATCCCTGATCAGGTGTAGCAACAGACATATTCATGCTATCCAAATTCATGGGGAACTTGATGGTCATCCTCATGGTCCCCAGATCAGTGTGCTCGGAGGTGTACATCAGGTGTGGGTAGAGCAGGGCTTTGATCTCATCCTCGTAGCTCTGCAGGGCCGAAGTGATGCACTCAGGTACATTTTCGTGTGTCACGTTGATGGTGTACTTCCGGAGTGTGGTGAACCTAATGGCGTGATCGAGACACTTTTCCGTCCTGGGTACGAGCCCCTCTGAATTTTTGTACATCGATTTGTCCATGTCGGCTTTGCAGTCGCCACTGATGCTCTCCTGAATGAACTTCCTCTTCTGTTCCTCCGACAACTCGCCTTTCACACCGACGGTGATGAGAGTCTGATCACTAGGACATTCCGTCGTATCCGCCTTACCCATAGCAACAGTGAGCTTGCTGTACGTCTCATCCTTCGTCACTCCTAGTTTGAGGGGATCGTCGGGAAGACTGGGATACGTCTTTTGAGCGTCAACACAGATCACTAGGTTCTTCTCCCCTGGTGTTGATCTACTCATCTGCAGACTCATCGTATTCTGCTTGTGTTCGCGACTCATGTCCAAATCCATATTAACGTGCCACGCGCAAATCGGTTCCTTCTCATTGACTGCTATTGCCTTCAAGCTCCCCCTCAGGCTGAACTTCGTTGCACTCAGGATGTGTGGAGTCTTCTGATTGTCATCCACATCCTCTGTATTCACCTTAAGTGACAGTTTCAAGTGAGACGTCGGGTATTTAGTACTCGGCTCTACTTTGTACATAAATCCACAGCTCCCCATTCTCGGTGAGATAATCAGATTCTTGAAAGTCTGACTGAGCGCAAGGAGTTCGGCACTCCAATCGTATCCCCAGGAGTTCTTCCGCTCCTTGTACAACGACCTGAAGAATTCTTTATCAATGACCACTGGAGTCAGCCCAGTCTCACAATCAAACACGGATGTTGAGAACTGTAGTCCCATATCCTTCACGTCATTAACATCCTCGTGATTCCGTTTAGCTGCGATGCCCTTGGTGACGGTCTCATGATACTCGCAAGTCGGGCACGATCTCTTCAGGGCGCCATCGTCACCCTCGCTGATTGTCGTGCAGTCTTTAGCGTGAGTAATCAATCCCTGCTTGAAATCCTTCTTCGACGACAGAATCGGAATGATAGTCTCCGAAGCAGCTGGCATGAAGGTTCTACCATTCGTGAATTCGTAAAAGAACTGCACGTCTGTCGCTGTCGCTCTTTTGATCGAATGCCAAACATCGAGCAGTGGATTGTAAATCGACATTGAGTAATCACCGTGCCTCCATGCTTTGTAACCAAATTCCACCACTGAACCCAGAATGTAATCACGTTGCTCCATTCCAAAGATCGATTGTACCATCGGTATCTTGCTCTCGAGTAAAACGGGAAGACCCATCTCACTCACCACATGCTGCTCATACATCGCATCATAGGACACGAATTTTCTCATGAATTCCGCAGTGTTACGATGAATTTTGACTAGCGGTGCGAGATCATCGAACAGCCCGATTATAGTCCTGCCCCTGTAATGATTGGCGAAGACAACTCGACCTCTGAACGAAATAACAGCGTCAATCAATAGCTCTCCCATCGTCGAGTTCCTACCAGCTTCTTCAAGAATCCGTACTACATCGTCATTAGCCACAGGAACTCGTCCGAATCGTATGAAAGCAGTCAACGGAGATGTGTAATGATTGAAATTCTGCAGAATGAGCTGTATCTTCCACAGCGTAACGCGTTTTCGACCTGCAATCTCAGAGGACTCGATATTCAATACATCGGGGAATCCCGTATTCTCGTTCAAAGTGTAAGAGAGGGAGACCTGATCGCCATGCCCGTAGATCTCATCCATGGCGTTGACCATGAATGATGAGGAGAGTCTGTAGGACACCGGTGTATGGATTCTCGTAAAACGGAGAATTTTCGTTGCAAGTTCCTTGAGGTGCATGTCGCAAGGATTGACGGAATTGGCGAGACCTTTGATGGTGGTGTGATGGTAGTTGTAGAGATGCTCGTTCTTCTCGTACACCATGAACCAGTAGATGTGAAGGATATTAGTCATGGATGGGGCCTGACGGATCAGAACATCGTACGCTGCGATCCTGAGCTTCAGGGGAAGATTGCTGTCAGCCATGATTGGCCAGAGGAGGTCGTGGGCGGCCTGGTAGCTCGGGATTGACTTCTCGACAGCCCAGATTGCGTGCATTCGCAGATTTGTCATTAAGGATGCGTCAGGGAATTGCTTGAGCTCCATTTGTCCTCGAATGAGAGGAGCTAGACGCTCGAATATTCCGCCGACTTGGAGGTTCCTCAGACCTGCGAGAGCCGCCACTTTCTCGTTGTACTCGTTGTTGACTAACTGATTGTAGAACATTTCAATCTGTTCTTGGAGAATGCTATGTTGCTCTGATTTTGGAGTATTTTTGAAGGCCCTGAAGAGGAGACTCCCGAAACTCGGGATTGCGGCTGCCCTGACATTATAAGATAGACCGGAAGTCCTGAAAGGATCTAGTAATAATGCAGTCTCTGGTGTAGGATTTCTAACGCTCAGGGGTAATTTTGCCAGCATCTGCATTGCAAATAGTCGGTCAACATCGGTTTCCTCGAGACGGATCAGTTCATTTATCACTTCGACTGCCGCGGGTGTCCCTACGTATGGCAGAGTCTCCAGGAAGATGGTTTTCACTGACCCATCGGTTGATTTCACATCGGAAAATAATTGCCGAAGGTCCGAGACCTGCATGAAACTCATCGTACGGACTAGTCTGTTGATCGTCTGGCCGTGTTTGAAGTCCGGCTCCTTTGCCTCCAGGTGATCCTCCTCGAGGTAGTCGGCTGCTTCTTTCAGCATTTCTTTCGCTTTTGAAATAAGGATATCGGGGTCGGAGACCACGTGTCGACCTTGAGTCACGTCTATGCCGCTGCCCTCTGAATAACTCCCCTCTGGCTTTAGGTAACTGATGTCTTCGATTTTGAGAAGATTTTTCAAGAATGAAAGCCTGAAACCCGCTGGTGGTTTCTTGTTCAGCAAGACGAATGTAGCACTGAAATTTTTGGGGATTCAATCATTAAACCTTGGCACATGTGAAATAATTCCACAGAAAATTGAATTCCTGGAATTTCTTTGAATTTGGAATTCTCTTTTAATATTACAGGAAATTATTGAATTAATTGTAATTACTTGTTGAGAACGTAATGGGCTTCGGATCTCCCTTTCCAGGGAAAGTAGTTGACACCTCCATGAGCTATGAGGGACTTGATGAGAATGTTCTGGTGATCCTTCTTGACTTTAAAGACTCGTCTACTCGCCATATTCACTGGTCTCTATTCGGACAATCGATCCGATAAAAATATGGAATTTAAATTTAATTTCCTAATATCGGCTCAATATCATATCCATTATCTTGAATCTTTGATTTTAATGATTCAATGATGATTGATTAGGAATAATTTATTCGGTGTTAATAAAATGGAATTCACCTCTGGAGGTAGATCGCAGGCCTCGACCTCGGCGTTATTAAAAGTGAAGATATTGTAATTAGTGCAGTTCCTTGGAGATCCGAATTTCGTGATAATTAATTCATCGGTATCTTCAGTGGGATGGACATCGTAGCTAGTCCAGCAGTCCCCGTGGATAGTATTCTGGGGGGTGGAACGAAAAAAAATATAAAATTTATGACGTGGTCTCACGAGTCCGTACTCACCTCCTTGGACATGAAGCTGTGGTGTTTGATCGGGGACTCTAAGTTCAGGCTCGGCATGTCCAGTTGCAGCATCGACGCCATCGCCATTTTCATGTTCCTGGACCATCTTGGCTCGTCTGACGAGATTCTCACACCGGCCAACTAAAGATTTTTTTATAATTATGGGATTTTCTCTCGGAGGAAATACATTCAATAGGCAAGTGGTAAAGTCAAGTCAAAGATCGATTGAATCTTAAATTTATCCTAATTATCTTAAAAATTTATAATTAAATTTACGGAATTTATAATTGGATTGATGAGATTTACAATTAAATTTACGGAATTTATAATTGAATTTATGGAGTTTATAATTGGATTGACGAGATTAAATTTTAAAAACCGTAAAATCGAATGGAATTCACTTCGACCCTTGGTGAATAAAATAGAATCCCGCGGTGAAGTCTCACCTGTCCGTTCTCCTGGTAAGCTATGAGAAATGGATGTTCCAGGATTTGTGCAGGCTCTGGAAGAGACCTGGAGGCCTTGGTGGGTTCATAATGCTCAGCGATGCCATTATGCAAACCTGTTCTGACATTCACCAATGCCACCATGAAGAAGCTCAGGTCGTCACGGTCACTCTCAATAGGTTCAACATTGAATTCACCAGATATGGAATACTGAGAGGCGTACGCCGCGGGTTCAATAATTCCCGCTTTGACATCTCCGTAGTAACTATAGACTAAACCTCTGTCACGAGGAAACGGCCCTGAAATTTTATGCTAATGAGTTTCCGCGGTGAATCACCAAATTGTTTGTAATTCAGTGATCAAGTGGTAGATCCAGTTGAGTCGCGCATATATAATAGCTTCGTTATATATTATTTAATCTCGAAAGCTATGTATTTTAGGAACAGAAAATATTCGGTACTGGAAATCTGATCAGCTCAAGGATTGATTGATAATAAAAATTGAAAACCATCTGTTTTTTCATGTCAATTTTATCAATCGTTTATCAGGAGTTTGTAAAAAATTTGTTTAAAAAATTCTTCAATCTTCGTAACTCACCTGTTGCATTAGCAACTGCCAAACAAACGGCTAACGCTATACAAACATAAAAGAACGGAATTAGTAAATGGATGTACGCAGTAGATGTAAAGTGGTCTCGGTCAATTTGTCAATTACACCCTATTCGTTAAAACGTATCAATTGATCGGACACTTCCCTGAAACCTGTTAGCTTACCCGCGACAATCTTCACCGCGCGAATCATCACGAGCGACTGATGCTAGCCAACGACTGTCATCTGCGTTTTATAAGGTCCGACGCTTCCGTAAAAATTCAATAGCATCAATCACAAGTTAAGGTCAAAGCGAAGATCTACACTGTAATGATAACCTGGTGACAAAAAAACATCCGTGGAATTCCCGTCGTTTTAATTGAAACCATGGATTGGTGCTCCCATAATGTAATCACGAAAATAATTCAACTCAAGATATTTTTAATATTATTTATTTATGAAACCAAAAAAATAAAGGCGAAGTGAATTTATCAGTTTTTTTTAAACTATTGAAATCAGATTTTTACACAAAATTATTTATAGAATTATATTGTTTTGTCCATCATTCACTCGGTGGGTTGAGGCAACAAGAATAATTAAATTAAGGAAAATATGATGTTTGGTTGGCATAGAGCAATATTTTTTAATTAGTTATCAGTCTCTGTCTGAAAGTTCATTAACGATTCATGTTTGTGCTCCACAATAGTTTCTATAGTGATACTCTCAGGCGTTAGCCAACAACATCTAATTTGTGACAATTTATCAGTTAATTGTTTTTTTTTTATGCGGGGTCTAGGCTGATCTAGAATTTTTAACGGGATCTGACCGCGGCTTGGTGTCATCATTCCATCAGTTTCCTCTACGAACTATTACATCGAACAATTTTCCTGTTCATCTGACGTATGAGTCAGCTCTGATAACAATGTTATGGTCGCTGGCTGGAGACTTTCAAAAATAAAGTGGAAAATTTTTCATGTTCAATTATCGTATTACAAAGTTTTCAGAAATAAATCCCAATTTGTACTGCACTGTTCTTAAAATTGAGTTAATGATTGTTCTGAGTTCAATTTTGCGATTCACTTTAATGGATTAATTAATTAATATATATTCATTAATTTATTTATATATGATAATTTATTGAATATTGGTAAAAATTCAAAAAAATGGCGATTTTTACGGAAATAATATTTTTCATGGACTCATTATATTTCTGGTACTTCAGGATGATTTTTTCCTCCAGAGGAATTCGTCGGAAGACGAAAAAGGAATTAATGAAAGACTAGAATAATGTTCCTTTTTTTATTTCTATATTTCTACAATCTTTTCACTGATTTTGCATAAAATAATTCTTGAGCTGCTGGAGAGCTTTGCTGCGATGTGAAATTTCGTTTTTAACAGATTTCGGTAGTTCAGCGTACGTCTGATTGTAGCCATCAGGTTGGAATATGGGATCCCAACCGAAGTCCCGTGATCCCCTCGGAGAGACGATCGTTCCACTGGTTTTCCCCTGGAAGACGATGACCTCGTCGCCAGGTTCTCCAGAGGAATACGCAAAAGTGCATATTGCCTCGGCAGACTTGTCGTCCCAGGCAGCGAGCATGTCGTGGAGTCCCTCGGGTCCGAGTTTATCGAGGAACCACTTGATGTAAGGACCTGGAAGACCCTTCATGGCATTGAACCCCAAACATGTGTCCTCGACGATCACTGGACCATTGACGATCGCCTGAGCTGCTTTACACTTTGATATACTGATGTCTGTTGCTTCACCTTGATACTCAGGTAAATCGATTTTTTCATTTGTCACTGCCCGGGGAAAATTTTTCCCCAGAATTGCAATGATTTCCTCCAGCTTCTTCGCATTGCCCGTTACAAAAACCAGAGGCTTCGCCATTCTAAACTGTAACATTCCGTTAATATTCGCTGTGAATATTTAAATAAAGGTGAAATAATAAATTCGATTTCAACATATTACAGGGTAATTTTACAGTTAAAAAATTAAAAAATTCCTTAAAAAAAAGGGGAAAAAACTGGAAGTGTCAGAAAATAACGCATATATTTTTTAAATATGGGGTGCTCTGACATTTATGTTTAAATTCACAATACATCTGTTGGGAGATGGAAAAGGGAGATTGAGAATTAAAAATAGAACGTGAGACGGAAAACTATACTGGGATTCCCCGACGACCTAAAACGTTGGTAAAGGAAAATAAGTTGGGAAAGTTGAAGCGCCCAGTGATGTGCAAGTAATTCACTCGGTTTAAAAAAATTGCTCATATACACTTCCCTATACGTCGGAACGTCGGGTTTGGAAACGAGATAATTGCAATTCTACGTAATGATTCAGAAAATTGCAATTATCTCGTTCAAGAAGCATTTCCAAAAAAAAGTCCCTGAAAATTTTCAAAAAAAAGTCCCCGAAAATTTTCAAAAAAATTTTCAAAAAAATTTACAAAAAATTTTCAAAATATTTTCCAAAAAAATTTCAACCAGTCAAAGGGGTGAATGTCATTTTCTATGTTTTACTAAACACCAATTTCGTAATGCAAAAAATAACATTCACACAGTCGACTGGTCCCTCTGACAGCGGGACTGCTACTGACCCAGTGACCGAGTTAGTTGACGGGCAGACACACCAGCTTTGCGTGGCGCCCTTTCTCTCTTTGGGTGAGGTACTACAATCCCGATGGGGTCAAATAAACCCCCAGAACTGGGCCTCTACCTTAGTCAATCCTCTTTGGTTGAACCACTGCCACATGCGTTAGCAATCTCCCCGATAATCTGTGAATACCACGTGCGAAATTTAGGAAGAAAATATAAGAATGACTTACATTTTTCAATTTTTTAAAATCCTCTCAACGACGATCGTCCTATTGACCAATTGACTTGAATTTTCCAATTAAATTGACTGTTCCAAGAAATTTATAAACAAAATCAGATTGTTCAGCTGGTGGATTCCAATCATTCAATAGCACTTGGTAACACTGTCCACGTAATTAGACTTTACCTACAGCGAATTGTCAAATCTAAAATCAAAAATCTCTCCGCTAATTTTAATAATTCCTCGATAAATTTTAATATTTGATACCTATTGGAATAAAATATACAATACAGTCTTGCTTATTTAAATTTTTAATTGATAATAATCGGAATGAATTTACTAGTTCAAAAACAGGCCCCAGTGGCGCCGTTGAAATTTCCCAGATCCCTAGAGAATTTTTACCGTGAAGAAATAATTCGAAAATGGCGTTCCCCTGAAGAAACGACACGTCGTGTTCCTGTCTCGCTCTTTGCCCCCGAAAATAAACGATCAACGGCTTTCCGGGAGTTTCCAAAACCCTTATCGATTAAAAACACCGGGCAGTCAAATAACTTCCATTGCGCATTGCATAAACCATGTATCATAATAAAAGTGTTCACGAGAGGAACCGATAAGACTGGGAGACGACGATTCACTGATTAACCTCGCGCTTCCTCGATAAGTCAATAATTTCTGTAATATTTTTTCTCTCAGTGCTGTTTCACTATTTTATTCCAAATACAAATACTTACGGATCATCACAAAGGTAAGTGTCATTTACCTAAAATCCCGAGACAAATTCAATGTTTGCGAATAAATCGATTGAAATTTTCACTGCGATATTTCTAGAGGATTATTTACAATAATTTAAGATGCCGACCCTCCCGAAATACCATAAGCTGAAGCGTCCGAAGGTCGTGGTGAAGCGAACGATGAAGCGTCATTCCCATGATAAAAAATCTCTTGCCCTGATGTACGAGAAATTGAAGATGAATAACAAAGCACTGGCCCAAGCCCTTTCGGAGCAAAAGGAAGAGAATCAACAGTTGTTCCGTGAGAACGTGGATCTCAGTCGTCAGTTGAATGAGACATATCACCACAGGAAGAGGCACATGGAGGCCTTCTCCATAATCTTGAAGAATTCTCGGGAGGCAATGGACCTGATGGTGAAGGCAACAGCCCAAGTGGTCACTGCGATTTCCACGTGCAACACAGTATTGCACCCAGAGGGTGGGAATTCCCCTCGTCCATCGAGCTCTCGAGACCCAAATCGTCGAGGTTCAGTAAAATCTCCGAATAAATCCCCAGCTAGAGGGGTCGTCCAGCCGATGGTGAGTGGTCATGCGATAGCCCAGCCAGCGATTTCTCTGAGAAGAATCCGGATAGCAGTGCCACCGAATGTCAGTGACATCGAGGAGACAACAGAGTCCCCAGGAAGCCCCAACAGAGCAGCCTCGAGGCTCCCCGGGAATCGCAACAGGCCCCTGAATCGAGCAATTCCACCGATGCTCCCGCAGAGGATCAGGGTGAGCTCCCCCAGGGACGAACCCCCTGACGACAGGAGATTATCCAACGTCAGTAGACGCTCCAGTAGATTTCAGAAACGAATGTCGAGAAATTCGAGGCACTCCGATCTCGATTCACCACGAGTCAGTATTAATCCCATTGAAACCACGATGAGGAGTGCCAGGGTATCCCTCGAGGATGTCTCCAGACTCCTGCACAATTCCCACAGCATCAACGTACGGAGCCTGATGGAAGAGGTGACGTCGATCCAAGAGCCTCCAAGTAATTCCCAGAACGAAGAGTTCACTCAGGTTGATCAGAATATTTCTGCAGTGACTGCAATTTCACCAGAGTTAGACACTGCCTCACCGACGTCGTCTCCACTGTCCCCTGGATTTTTATCCTCCCCAACTTATCAGTTGGATCATCGAAAGAGGAAGATGCGCAAGAGAAAACTTGCTGAAAAAGCCAAGGGGAGGGAGGCCACAAAAAAAACATTTCGCGAGGAACAACAGAGGGTTGAAGAGGATCCTCTTGAGGGCCCCAGCTGGAGGTACAGCAATCAGATGGAGATCTCCGGAGGACCAGTCGAAGGAGAGGACGAGGGAGTTGACGAGGAGAGCCGGCAGGAAAGTGGAAAGAGGAACGAAACAAGTGGAAGTCAAGAAAGGCCTTCAATGATACTCGATTCTTCTCTCAGAGCCTCTACAGGGCTTTCAAGCAGTCGGATGTCCCTGACGATGATAAATGCACGTGGATGGTATCACGATGAGGACGACGATGACGACGAGAGATGCCAAATGATACACATGCCTGGAAGAAATAACGACGAGGAGACAACTAATTTTACAGCTGTATTCTCGAGAAATGTTTGCACGTCCAGGGGACGAGTCGGCGACTTGGATCCTGATGAGTTCACCATGATGAGGAGACCTAATAAACCATTCAAGCCCTGGACAATGGCTGATTTAGAAATACCAGATATTTCTCCTCAGGAGCTCGAGTCACCTATGACTAGGGCACCTGAAATTATTACTGAGCCTGAGATCACCAAGACTATTCCGATTCAGGGGCTTGAACAGGTAGTGACGTCAGCTCCAGAGTTGGATAATGTTACTTTTAATACGAGTGTCACCATGCCTGTCGACACCGCTGGACGGGAGTCTGGGGATGATTCCACGCTCGTTGCACATCGCAGGAGGAACAACGTACCTGCCATTGTGGAGTCCTCCAGTGATTCGGAGACGTCTACACCTCCTAGGAAGACGTCTAAGAGTAGCAGGTCGAAGGGGAACAAGAGGAGGGATCCTAGCTCGGCGAAGGTCGTCTTGGAGAAACTCAAGGAACCCGGACAGAAGAAGAGACCTGAATCGCCTGTACCCAAGACCTCGGACATCAATGGTTATTCGTAAGTATTTTTTATGGCAATTTTGAGGACATATTCTCTGGTAATATTATGAATTAAAATGAAATATGCCTCCGAAGAACTTTCCAGATTATCCTGGTTATAATTGGGGAATTTTTGATGGATTTTTTTACAGGCGCAGAGTATCACATTCTCTGACTAGTGATTCCGAGAGCAGTAATGCCAGTTTCGGTAGTAATGGAAGACCAAGAAGACAGAAAGCTCCAGTAAATTTTGCAGAACCTTCGTTAAGAAAGTGAGTGGATCTGAAAATTTTAGTGACAAGTTTGGTTTGTGTTATCGAATTTTCACTCACGATTTCGTTTTTTTTTTCTTTACAGAAAATTGAGGAGAGGTTAAGTGTCTGTTGATGACAATATAGCCTTTAATGACTGAACTAAAGGACTGACTGTAATCTTGAATTAATCGATCTGATAGCTTGAGGCTGATAATTGCATTTCTATTGGTAACGTAAGGCCTGCTGAATAAAGTTAATTATTTCTGTTCTCTCTGTCTCATAAGTTCAAACCTAAAATTTATTAAAATTGACTTAAATTGTCGGAAATATTTTGTTTCCTTCAGCGTTGTTTAATTTATTAATGTTGATTGTCATTGGCAACTGCATAATTGTTCATGGAAAACGCTCTGGACCAAATGTTCAAGGACATTGGTAAATAAATATTTATTATGGACGATGAGTATTTCCTCGTTTCAAGAGGCGATGGAAAAAAATGAAAAATTTTTCAACTCAATGGAACGAAAAAAATTAAATCGAAAGCACTCATCGAATTTTTCTTCCTTATGAAATAAAATTTCAAAAACTTCCATAATTATTATTTTCTGGCCTTAAATAGATCAGTTACTCATCGAGAGATATCAGAATCAGAATCTCATTTCGTTGTTCGTAAATTAAACTATTCACTACTCAATAAAAAAATATTCAATATCCTCAAATCTAAATAGATTCGTTGTATATAAAATCCCATTTCATCGATAATCGATAAAAAAAAAAAACAACTAATATAAAAAAGGCCTCGGACGTTTGCGCTTTAAATTCCTAATTGCCTAGATTAATTAATAATGAAAAATGTCAAATCAAAAATTGTTGTCTCATGTCATGACTTCGCATCTAAAATCATCAAAACAATTTCACACCGATGAGTCATTCCTCCCAATCGTCTCCATTTTTACCCAGTGCCTAGAATTCGGCCTAACGGTTGTGGAATTAGAAACAAGAACAGAAATAACTGGAACGCGAATTTTCAAATCATGTTGTGCAGCTCGTGATTTACTAGACACTGTGACGAGTCGTTGCACGTCGTTCCCTCCCTCAGTGGGTCTCTCAATCCTCTCGATTTTCGCTACAGTTCCCCTACTCCTCGATTTTTCACTCTCCTGGGTTGACAATGCGGCGTTCAGCCTCCTGGTGATAAAAAACTGGGTTCCGTTCTGAGAAGAATTGGAAATGGGAAGAGGCCTGAACCTTGAGTTGGGCCTCTGGAATGATTCAGGGGCTTTTTCCTGGGGAAGGCTTCTCAAAGGGAAAAGGACTCCCTCACTTCTCCTTTTCTTTACACCACTAGTAGTGGAGTTTGTCGAGTTTTTCGAGTCTTCAATAGCCTTCACTGAAGGTATGACCTCTTCAGAGTCATTTAGTCCTCGATGGTCGTGGGTGTTTGCTAGAGCTACTGAGTCTGTGCCATTTGGGGCAGGACCTTGAGATATTTCCTGAAGATTAAATATATAATAGTAGTTCTTATTAATGAGATTACAACAAATTTGAAATTTTTCTACGAGAACAAAAAAAGTTCTGAATTGAAATACTATATTACCCAGTTATGACTCGGTGGAGCCTCTCCGTGAAGAACGGCAACAGGCCAGTGTCTGCCCTCGCAGTCGACCTCGTAGTGACACTTGCTAGAGGGTCCTCCAGGTCTGGGGGGCCTCGATTTCGAAGAATATGGGAAATATCGCTCACTGCACGGTCGCCACTGATCCCTGGAGCCCCCCACGTAGCACCAGGGGTAGCTGGATCCCTGAGAGAATCCGCACTGGTGTGAGGGCTCGCAACAGTACTCCCAGGAGTCCGGTTCCGAGCCCTCAGTCTGACAGGACCAGAATCCCGCCACTGGGTGTCTCTCGCACTTAGTTCCTCTCTTGCAGGGATGACCATTCACCGTGTAATGATTGAAGACCATCAACTCCGGGGGGTAGAAGAACCGCTCGTCCTGGGGATTGCTCGGTCTGTCATGGGGCATCGGGTAGTGATACCCCAGGTCTGACTCTCCCGGTTTACTGGTGTCCAGGGGAGTAACTTCGTAGTAGTAAGGATCCTCTGGGTCTGCATACGGCTTCGAAGAGTATTCATTCGAGGGAACGCACTTGGGCTCGAGCTCTTTGAAAACGTACAGGGAGTACTCCTCGTCGTGGGTGTAATCGAGACCTGGACGCAGGTCTCTCGTGGGAACGTCACTCATGTGACAGTTGTCTTCGATATCGTCACCAGAGATTCTGAGATTGTGAACGAAAACTCCTCATTTTTCAATCTTCGTTAATAATATAATATACAATACTCTATGTGATGTAAATATATGCATAATTAATTGAGAATGAAAATTTAATGATTGACAAATTTATTTAACAAATCTCATCTAAAATAACTGGAAATTTATTGAAGCAATTAAATTTCATACTCACTTATAACTAAAAGACATACAAGGTGCAGAATTTCTCCCCACATTCTCCCTCATCACCGTACACCTTCTCCGACAGTCAGCCTCCGAGTCCACCTTGGCCGTCAATATAATAGCATAAGGTGTTAATTTGCAGGGTCTGTCGTAACCAGCATAACAGGATGCTATCATGTAAATTCATAACGATAGGGGGTATGTTGTTTATCGGTAAGAGTGACGAGTGATTAATTTATTTATTGTACCTTCATCGGTGTGCGAAGGTTTGTAATCGAGGGCTGGTCGACTGGGGGTTGTGGGATCAGGAGAGGGAATCGGATGATGGGGTTCACAACCCCGACCAAAGCTACCCCTTTCGTACAACTCTGCTCCCTCCATGTCCAGCATTTTGTGGGGATCAATTTCCACCGCTGGCCAGTCACTCAGGTAACAATTGGGAAGACCACTTACCGAAGAGTCATATCTTCAAAATAAATCAATTACACCTTTAAATTCCCCAAATGATATTATTAATTAATTATTATCGATTTGAGTTGAACAATTTCATCTGCTCCACATAATTAATAAAGTGGGACAAGTCGAATTTTTACTTTCCTTAACTGTCGATTTATCTCGAAATCTATCAATTTCAGGTTTAAACGGTAAATAACTTTTTTGTGGCTTGTTAAATTTCGAATAAAAAAGTTCTTATGACGTTTTCTCATAAAATCAATATCTTATGAGATAATCGACGTGGTTCCCCGATTACAAAGATTCACTCGTCAGTTAATTAACCTGAAGACAAAACTCCTGCAGGTGAAATCCCGGGCGTGAACGCACTGCACCTGGCACTCGCCCATGCCCTCGACTCTGGTCGGTTTTTTGACGACAGCGGGGGGCATTCCAAATCCAGTCCTGACCCTCCAAAAGCATTCTGGAGAAAACAGAGACAATCATCAAGCGCTGGATTGTGTTCAGTGCGATAGACATTTCCTGCGATTATGACTGATACTAAATATCTGAGGGAAATAGTTCTAGCTCGCTCATACCATCCGGCGGACGCGTTCGTCTGGGGCTCGACGATGGTCTTCCCCGGGTCTCACACCACTTTGGATTTATCATTATAGCGTAGATGTCGTAATCGCGGTCGGGCTCGAGATCGGTGTAAAAAATGAGATTCTCCAAGGGTGCGTCTGACAGAAGACAATTATCTGAGGGTGAAGTTGCAGCCAGATTGTACCTGGGGTTTCCATCACAAAAAAAGTCAGGAATTTAATTCCATCAGATCATATTATTACCAGATCGATACATAGATCGATTATTTATCCAATTAAAATTACGTTCCCCACCTGTAGGCGAAGGTTAAACAGGTGAACTCCTTCTGACTCTGACAGAGACTCTCGCACTGCCCCAGATTGGCAGTGAGATAACTCTTCCTGATAATTCCCTTGGCGAGACGAAATCCTCCAGCGGATCTCACGGAGCACGCCCTCCTCGAAGGAGGTGTTGGTGGTACCCTCGGTACTGCAGGTCTGTCATATCCATAGGCGCCTCCATAATTATGGAAAGGTCCGTACTGGGAGTCGTGGCCTGGAGGAGCCTTTGAATGCGGTGGCTCGAGATGCAACGGTCGTGGTGAAGGTTTTGGGTGTCCTGAGTGGTCAGGATATCCATCACCGTAGGATGGACCGTACCCTTCGGCCGGATCAGGCTTCGACGGCTTTCGCCGGTCAGGGACATAATGGGAAATCTCATTCGTCACTAATAAAACATCGAAATTTCAGGTTCAGGTTGAGTGGCTATCCTAATCATCGATTTATCTGGGAAGATATCGATTTCAGGGGGAAACACGAGAGAACTTTTTTTTAGCTGATTAAATTCCGGATAAAAAAGGTCCCCTACTATTTTTTTTTTAAATCAATAGTTTGTCACCTGGATCAGGTCCGATCCTCCGGATGGGGTAGTTCTGACCGTAACGTCGTCCAGTCATCCAGATTCCATCCCCAGGTCGTCCATAGGAATATCCATTGCCGCTGTAGCCGTGGTCGGAGGGTCTGGATGGTAGATACCTGGGGTATCCGACCCCAGGTATCGGCGTTCGGTCTCTGTCCCTCTGATGGAAGCCGTAGGTTTCGTGTCTCTGGGGGAAAGTGGGCCAGCTGTCCTCAAGGGGTCTTACAGGAAGTGGAGGAGGGTGGGTAGGTCTCACCAGGACGGTGGACCTGAACCAGGGATCGGGTTGTGAGCGATCGTAATCGAGTGTCAGCTTCGTTCGACCCATGAAGGTCCCTCCGTAGGGAAGGGGTCCAGTGCCTCCTGGAGGGGCTGGAGTCACTGGAGGGATGTAGTGTCCAGATCCAGCTGATCCCCGTGGTGTCCAGACGGGTCGACGTCCATCGGACTCTCCCCACCAGTCTCTCGAATCAGGTTGGACCTTGTCCCTCCTCCTCTCACATCTTCGCCTCGTCCAGTCCCTCTCGTAGTAGTCGTACCTAGGATCCGATATGAAATCCCGATTCACGTCTACCTGAGTGGGAGGTGTCGATGACAACTCGCACATTCCCTTCGCACCTGCATGAGATCTGATAACAGATCGATTGATCGATATGAATTGATATGAATATGATATGGACTCGATATGATTGGCATTAAATCATTCTGATTTAATAATTAATCAATCGACTTTAAGGGATTTTAATGAAACGTATCAAAATCATCAGAAAAATCATCCGGTGAAAATGCTAGATCATTCCCTGAGACGACATCTCCCCGCAAATTTCTACAGATCGACTGCTTGAACTATCGATCGGATGATTGTCGGCTTTTTATGGGGACTGATGACACCCGTCAAATTACATCCGCTCTGATGCAATTCAATGGGGATAAACAATGCTCGATTGCATACTCTACATGCGTGCAAACGTCATTATGGGATAACCCAGATACGTCTCGTTTCGACTGCGGAAATATGCCAACCGTGGATAATAGTCGTCATGTCGGATATTTTCTTATTATTTTGCAGTCCTCACGAGAAAAAAAAAATATCTGCATTGATAAACGAATTGTTTGTATGTGATATAAAAAATGTTTCATAATGTAAAAAAAAATTGATGACTGTAAAAACAATGCGGAGATTATCTTGAATTATTTAATTCTATTGCTATTTATTATTTAATTGAATTTTTAATTTTTGGAGAGTTGGTGGATCAAGTGGGGATTGGGATTTAATTGTTTTTAATTGTTCTCACCGATAATTGAATCCCTCGCACGTGAATCCTCTTTCGTATTCGCACATCCGATGACAATCGTGAAGTCTCTCGCATTCCATCACTCGTTTTATGTAAGGATCGACGATTCTTTTGCCGGAGAGCAATCGGCGAAAGCATGCTATAAATTCAAGAAGTCCATCACTTGATTGGAAAAATTTGAAAATTACCATCGATTACGCGCAACTCTGTACTGCACTGATAAAGTGATATGAAATTCCCATAGCTCTTATCTATCGAATTATCTCGAAACCTATCGATTCCAGAAGAAAACTTTAGAGGAATTTTTTACAGCTGATTAAATTTCTGACAGAAAAGGTGCAGTGGTGTTTCACCCTAAAATCGGTAGTTTTCGAGATTAATCGACGGGAATTCTCAATTAATTCTGCAATTATTATCATTGACTGAGTTTGTTGCTCTGGCATTAATTATCGGACGAATTAAAAAATTGCAGGAATTTTTCGGGTTGATGCAAAATTTTTTAGATTCATCGAGAATATCCAATGATTTTCGATGATTTTTTTGATCGATTGGGACAATATTTTTTAATACAAATGATTGAGGTCTTTGAAATCCTTCTTTTACTGCTGATGAACTTACGATCGTCACAATCAGAATCGCGCACAATGATAACTTCACCGAAGCACGCGGATTTTCCGAAGAGAGTCACAAGAAAAATAAACCACCACATTTTGCCGATCACTAGAACTAATTGATTATAAAAACCCCGAATCGTCGACAGTTTATCGTCATCGGAGGTAATCGATGACATCCGAAGACATCGCCGAGGATGAGAGGATTGGATGAATGAGAAATTGAAAAAATAACAGCAAAATTACAGGTTCGCATCGTTTTATATGGAAAAGTGAACGTTTCCGTGGGAATAGTGGGAGGTGCCTGGGGGAGGAGTAATGTACGATCATCAAACCAGTCTCTACTGTTCACGTAATAACAGTGATTTTATCATCTCATTGTCACCTCGGGATACCAGAGCTAATCAGTTTCCAATTGCTTCGAGGAATTTTCGTTTCCACCAATTTTTTCGGGGGAAACATTTTTTTTACTCCGAAAAAAATTATTCAATTGTCCATAAACTCCAAAGAAAAAAATGACAAATCAAAATTTTCATTAAGACATTAAATATTCCATTATTCCACCATTGAATTTTTCTGTGAAAATGTCGCATGGGAATCACCGCCACATTATTTATGGATTAAAAAAAAAAACAACAGTGCACTATTGCTGATAACAAATGAGTGCTCATTGATAACAATCGCACTGGCATAAAGTTCGATGATTAATCATTTCAGTAATGTGAGATCATTTTTTTAGAAAGGAAATCAGCCTTGAAAGTTCTTCGCGTTCCCCTAATTATTTCAGATTATTGTTTCGAGATTATTGTTTATGTTTGTGGTTACGATGACATCCTGGATCGTTCAACGAAGATATCCCCTTCGAGAATAAAGAAATAAAATTGTAACACGATTCTCCGGAGTTTAAAAATTCCTCGGACAAATTGTCGTGTGAAGAAATCCCCCACTTTTCCCACCGTCTTCACATTTTTTCATAATTTTTCAACACAGGGTCAGCCAAAAATATCTATTAGTCAATTCCGGTTGTGAAATCATCAGTTCTAGACAAAAGAAATATTTCCATCAAGTGCTAGGAGAATCCTTCGAAATAATGAGAACTTATCGATCTACAGATCTAATAACAAGTATTGAGGAAATAAAACTATTGATTTTACCAATAAATTTTGCTCTCACGTGAAAATAATCAATGGATAATTAATTACTAATAAACAAATAACTGAACTATATAACAATTACATAACTTATTGTATAAATAAAAATTAGGTGATGCCTCAGGTTTTTTTAGGTTCAGTTTATCAATTTATTTATTGATTTTCATTTCCGTGGATATTTAAATAAATAAAAAAAAAATCGGAAACCTCTCCCTTTCGTCAGAACTCTTACTCTCCGTTGGGAACGCCGTCCCTTTGTTCTCCCACCGAAGATTAAAAAATTCCTCGGCAATTTTTCTCGTTCCCCTTGAAAAATCATTCAATTAAGCATCTCTAATTGCAAAAAATCCCCGATAATTTTACATAACAAATCGCTGGATTGTAAATAAATGACGGAGACATCCTGGCCCGGGATAAACGTCGGACAGAAAAAAAAAGTCATTTACGTTGTTCATTAACAACAACGTATTATTGTGTTCACGATGGGCAAGCGGAAACGCCCCAGAGAGAGATTCGCGATTCGCGATTCACGAAGCGCGAGGTGAAGCAGTTAGAAACCGTGTCAATGCCGTAGTTTCCACCTGCGGATTCGTCGATTAGTCCAGTGCAAATGAACAGCGGATACGAGTTCATGTGCGCGTGCAGGCCATTTGCACTTACCCGAGTCATGCCAATTAAATTGTCCGATGTAACTCACCTTTTGCCTCATTTGTCGGATCGTATGCGCTCACATCAGGCACGTCATTTTCCTCCATTGATGGACGTCCCCTCGATGCACTTGGAAAATTCGTCAATGCACCGATTAATTTATTATTTTTCCACTCGCTATCAAAAATTTTTCCAACGAATTTCATTTATCTAAATTAATCCAAGTGATTCAATCCCTTGATTAATCAATTGAAGTAATTGAATTTATCATTTGGTAATTAAGCAATTAATTATTGAATTATTTTTATGGTTATTTATGAGTTATTGTTAGAAATTGAAAAATTCGATTGAATTTTTTTAACTAAAACAAAATGAAGTTCATAATTCGGAATTATTTATTTAGAATTAGAAGAGGGATTTATTTTTCAGCTGAAAAATTGAAGAATAAATATTCGAGAAGAACCGGAAATTTAATCCTTGAAAACTGAAAATTCCGTCGGGCGTAATTTTTCCAATTAAAGTACGAACTCGGGGAATTACCTTGGGTAAATTAAAAAATCATTAGCCCTGTCTGATTGCGTCAGCCTCTGGCCGAAGCCAAAGGTGTCATCAAACGCAGAGACATAATCATCACCACCGGCTTCAGGTTTATCTTTTTTTAAAAGCGTGGACACCTGGGGACCTCCATAAATCTTCGGGTTCAGTCTCCTCCCGAAGGTGTCCCCGAGGCTTTCTCCCTCGATCCCCAAAAAATCATGATTACCACTGAGCTCCCCATAATTACTGTAATCAGGATGTTCGAAGTGATTTTTAGAAGGAATTGGAAAGGGATTGAAAGGCTGAACGACCTGGTGCCACCCGAAGGCGCTATCAGGACTCCAGCTGTCATCGGGGAACTTCCACTGGAAGTGACTCTTTTCATCCCCTGATTTCTCGTAGTCTTGGGTCCTGCGGCCCTTTTTGTTCTGGAGAATGTCAGAAATTCTGAGTCGATCATCACTGGTGAAATCGAAGGGATTCCTGATTATTCCACTTCGATTATTCCTGTTTCGATTGAAGATAGAGTTCCCGAAAGTTGAGAGGAGACTGCTGTTGCCGAATAATCTCTGAGATCTGTCTGCGTTGATGCTGAGAGGCCCAGGGTCTCCACCATTCTGATTTCCTGGAGGTGGGCCTGGTGTACTCGGGATTACGAAGGACGTACCAGTCCTCGCTTGGCATCCCCTCAAGGAAATTTTTCCTTTGACGTACACGTCGTAATTAGGATCTCGCTGAAGGTCCAATCGACCATCAGGAGCTCGAGATCCCAATACGCAAGTTCCATTCCCTCTGTTTCCAATTCTAAAGCATAAATTAATTAATCTCTACCGTCGACTCACTTGATTACCGATTTTTAATGAATTTATTGATTACATAATTTTATAATTTTTGAAGAATTCCGCGAGTCCTTGAATATTTTTATTGAAAGCCAGAGACAAAGAGACTTGAAACAAATTTCACATCATAAATTTCGACTTCTCTCCAATGTTTTCACGAGGTAATTAAGATTCTTAAGCAGCATTTATCAATTATGCGTGGGAAAAAATAAAAAGGCTCTCCATCTTTTACCCCCGTCCCTACACAAGCGAAATAAATATATATATATTTTCCAAATTGAATTCGAATTAAATTCGAAACTTCACTTATTTACTTGACGTTTCACTCTAATCCTTTAATTTCGTAATCTTCACTTACTGAGTAATTTCAGTAATTCGATTAATTATTCTGGTAATTTTTCTTGGGATATTAATATTCAATTATTATTTTAGTTTCAATTTAATTTAATATCGAGGACTGAACAGAATTTAAATAATTTACAGATGACATTCCATTAACAAAACCATAAGATTACATAAAAAATTATTTCTCTTGACAATTATTTCACAAGGCCATTAAGATTGTTAAACCTCATTGTACCTTGAAAGTATCAGCTTACCCGAAACTGAATGAACTGCAGGAAGTGCCGTTGGCCGAACAAGCGGCTTCGCAATCTCCAGCAGTATTTACCTGACTCGTCGAAATAACTAATGAATCAGCGAGACGAGAGCCAATAGATACCCTAGCGTAGCAATCTGACAAAAAAGAACAATTAATATCCGCTCCCGGAATCTTCGCGAATCTCCACAACTCGCCGTTTTAATGATCAGGTAATTAACAACGGAATTGGCAAGGGATTTACCAGGGGGAACGACGAAGAGGCGATTGTCAATGGTGAGATCCAGGCTGTGGCCATCATCCAGGAGACTCGATAACCCCAGGAAAATAAGATAAACTCCTCTTCCTAGAAAGCCTCCAGCTTTATCCATCTGATTCTTCATCTCCAGTTGCCAGTGGAAACCGTGAGTCTATCATTGCAGGTGAAAATTATTTTTTCTCCGTATTTATCGAAATATTCTACACTTCAGATCTAGATGTCAACTCGATCACAAGACGAATTAACGATTGTCTTATCGAATATTATTTTTTATGGACACAATTTTAATGAAAATACCACAGTAAATTTTTTTTTCAGTTGTACATCATCTCACTAGACAAACTGAATCTGCACTAGACGTTATGCACTCGCAATTAAACCGAGTTTCACATGAATTCTCACGAGAATCGTTACACTTTCCCCCAACAACAATTGTCCCGACGATGTGCTCTGAACTGAAGGTATCAGGTGCATCAGGCTCTTATACCCATTCCAAGGAGTAATTATTCATCATTTAACGACCTGCAAGTCATCAACCCGAGAGATTAAACCAGGGCTCATGAAAGATACCCCAGGTGCACCATCGGGCAGTCATTGATGCACTGAGTTTCACTCGATTTCCAGGTACTAATTGTAGGGCTGGATAATCATTCCATTGAGGTGATTTTTTTATCGGGACGAAGGGAGTGTCGTGTCCGTCTCTTCCTATTGAGTAATGTCGCAATTACTTGGGGATAATCGCTGGGACTTGGTGCAACTAGAGGTGCGACGAACTGATGGACTTCATGAAGAACATTTTAGTGTCCATTGTTTGGATTGTCAGACCGATTTTCCAACGTTTGAGAGATGAATCAAGCGACTTGGATCATTAAACGCACGCGATATTATAAATAATCATTTTCAATGGGAAGTGAAACTAATAGTTTTTCAAATAGATAAGGACCACTTTTCATTTTCACATCATCATTCGTTATTTAATTCAATTTTTTTAAACAAATTTTGATTCCAATAAATTAAATAGTAAAAAAGCTTATTTTTCTCGATTCTCTACAAATTTCCGATTTTCCAAAATTAGCAGTGCAATTATATAATAATAATAATAACTGGAGTTAAATAACATTGAAAATTTAAAGATTCGGTGAAAATTATTGGAAAATTCGTAGAATTTCTACATTAGGATTTTCGGCGCTTGTAATGTAGAAATTTGGTAGATTGGAGATATGAAAAAATGATTGGAAATTGTAGAAGAACATGGCAGAACGAATACTCAGTACCTTATGAGTGAAAATTTGACAGATAAATCCAAAGTGGAAGACTTCACGCTTGAAGGATCACGGGGTACATCAAAATGACGCATCGTTCCTGTTTTTCTTCTCGCTCCTTAACTCCATCGCGTATTGTTTTTATTCTTTATCGGTTTACGCATGAAGGAGTGGGACCTAGGCTCATTATTTAATTGGTGGAGGATTCCGTCATCTCGGAGACGTTCAATATCCTCTTTTAATTAAAAAGTTGATAAAGAAAAATTGCGACAAAATATTGACGTTGAAAAATTGGTTTTTAATTGGAAAAATCGGGAGAATTGATTTATTTTAAATTGATTGATTTTATTTATTATAAGGTCGCGAAAATTCTCGGGAAAATTCGTGGGTTCTGAGTAGTGGACCTTTCAATGAGTCCAAAAAAAAATTGAATTCAATTAAGACATGAAAATAATTTTTTTTTCGAAAATCGATGAAAAATTTTTTTTTTCGAAAATCGATGAAAATGAATTTTTTTGAAAATTCTCGGGAAAATCGTGAGATCTGAGTAGCGTACCTCTCAATACGTCCGAAGGAAGAGTGGATTCAATTGAGACATGAAAATAATTTTTTTTTTCGAAAATCGATTAAAATATTTTTTTTTTTAAATCGATGAAAATATATTTTTTTTTGAAAATCGATGAAAGTGAATTTTTTTTTTTAATTCTCAGGAAAGCTCGTGAATTCTGAGTAGCGGACCTCTTTATGAGTCCAAAAAAAGATTGAATTCAATTGAGATATGAAAATAGGATTTATTTTTTTTTCTACGATTTATATTTCTAGGATTTATTTATTTATTTTTTTTTGGATGTCTTCCATCGTGAGGTAATATTCTGATAATAATATTTTGCTGACATATACTAATTCCGCGAGTTATTTCAGTCGTTGTAATCCTCTCTGTGAACCCAACAGCCACCGGATTTCATTCATCGACATCCGGTGAGGGATTAAGTGCGGTAAGAAAATAAATATCACCTGTGCAAATCGCATTCTACTACAGCTGGAATGAATTTTCTAATGCGTCAGGCGCGATGATATACGTGAAATCATACGGGAATTGGCTGACACAGTCGTGAGAGAAACAGGAGTTCAGAATTCATTCCTTTTAACGCTTCGGCAATTGCGCTGGCATTTTTTTTCCCAGGGAGATCCTATTTATTCACTTCAACGCCACCTTGGACATTGTATGAGCACGACGACCTCATGAATATCTTTATCTCAGCCTCGATTTATTATGAGTGTGTGGTCATACTCTTGAAATTTTCTTGTTCGAAATAATTTCACATGTTGTGAAATATCGGGAATTATTTTCATGAAATTCCATCAAGTTATCGAAAATTTCCATGACATAATTCCGAACTATTCCACGTCAGCAGGGAGAACGAAAAGATTTTGTGTTTTTTTTTTTAATAAATTCAGTTTTATTCAAGTTAAATAGAAAAATAATGATTTCATATTTATACAAAGAAATTATACAGCGAAATCAGTAGGTGATGCGCGAACTTGTGCTGTGGCATAATCAGTGAAGTTCTCTAAGTCAATGAACAAATTTTTCTCTGTAATAGTCTGAGTCTCGAATACTTAGGTCTAGTAATGTACAAGTAATCGGAGTAGATCTTGAATTTTGGGAGAGAGTTAACAACAAGCCGGTGGTTTCTCGTGGATTCCGTGTGCAATTGACGCATTCGCGAGGCTCTCCTCACTAGATGGTGTCAGAGGATACTCCGAATCTGAACTACCGAACCCAGAACTCGGGGAATCCTGGACACGCAGATGTGGTGACTCCGTTTTTCCGTCAGTTAATCTGCTGGCATAAAAATAGAAATACTGAATCATCAGCTCTCTGTCAAGTCGAATAATTAATTAACAATGAATCAACTATAAATATCCTCCAATTGATAATATATTTCAATAAAACCGTTCTGATTTTATTTTTAAAAAGTAGAGAAAAAAATATATAGTCGAATTACAAAAATGTTATTAAAGAGTAAATTCTACAATTCGATTAATTACTCTAGATTCTAGAACTTCGAGCACCCACTGTATTACTGAAACTGCATTGAAAATAAATAGTCTACCTCAAAAGTTCACAAGCAATAGTCAAGAATACTTTTCCAATCCCCTCGTCGTGCAAGGCGGAGGTCTCGTGATAAGAGGCACCGATAATTGTCGCATACGTTCTTCCCTCCTCGGGGTCAACACTCCTCTCTTCAGCCAAATCGCATTTATTCCCCACAAGTACAAGCACCATAGGCTCCTCAATATTTCTCTTCAACTCATTCACCCAAGTCTTTATCGCTGTAAATGTTTTATACTGTGTGATATCGAAAACAAGAACAGCAGCATTTGCGTGCCTGTAGTACATCGGTGCCATAGATCTGAATCTTTCCTGTCCCGCTGTGTCCCACACTTGCAATTTCACCCTAACATCCTGAAGATTTATCCTACAGGTGAAGAATGACGCACCAACCGTGGGACTCGGCCGATTGAGATCATCCCCTGCGTATCTCTTTATCATACTAGTTTTTCCGACCCCTTCAACAGAAAATTCCATCGAACAAATATTTATACCCTAATCGGAAGTTTTCCCGAGTTTTTCTAACTTGTAATATTTTTTTTTGCTACCGCAAGGAGTTGATTAAAGGGAAAAATTCAATTTCATTGACTTTCCTTTTTTTTCAAGAGATGTTCTGTGAGATTGTACATTGGTGGCAAGTGGATTTTTCCCGATTCACTATAAATCAAATTTTCCAATAGTGAAAATTCCCCGAGAAAGCTCGAGTTCTGGGGACCTATTCTCGACGAATGGGAAATGTCTTTCGTGAATGGAACGTAATCCGTGAAAGAACGAACTGTTTGTTGATGACTTTTATTTAGAAATCAGAGTTCTCAAGGGAATATAATTCCCAAATATTCGTTCATGGATTACATTCCCAAGTGTCGAGAATAGGCCGCTTGGTGATAACGTCCAAACACTGACGTGACATTCTAGGTATTTCCGGAATTGATTACAGGTTATGTAATTCCGGTAACAATACGATCAATCATCCAGGGATAAACTGAATAGTAATTTATTTATTTACTCACCCTGGGACCCCAGGACCACCACTTTACTCTCCAGAGTCCTCATGATTTCTGTCTGGAGTTGTCAATCCATTGATTAATCAGAATCAGGACCACCTGATCTTTTCGTGTTATTATTTTTGATTGTTGGGGATGAATAATTGTGCAGGTCTGTTGTCTTTCCAACATTTGGGAGTCACGGTCACGTTTGATTGTTGATGTCAATCCGGTCGTAACCTTGTGATCATTGACAGAGCCAAGGTGGAATAATGAGCTCGCCTCGAGTCGATGCTGCACTGTCAACAGAAATCACCTCTTGAACGCACACTGACATCTCCTGGAGCACTGCAGACACCTGGGGGGACTACGTCGACAAATTACCAACGGTCAGCTGGAAATTCTCCTACTCTCTGGGTTAGCACTCAAATTTTGGGTAAAAAATGTTTATATTTTTTGAATAAAAAATGTAAGTAAATTATTGAAGGAAAAATATTGAAGTAAATTATTTTCACGAATTTTCAATTTTTTGGAAGTTCAAGGACATTTTATATATTTTTTTTAAAGCATTTATACGATGAGATTTAAAATTCTGGTTTTATTTTTTTTAATAGATTGCAGGGTTTTTTTTTAACTTTATTGAAGAGAATATTTTGAAAAAATATTTTGAGTTAATGAGAAATTTTGGTTGAATTAATTTGATTGTTTTGCAAATATTATTTGGCAATTATTATAATTTATTGTAGGTGCCTTCATTATTTTTATTTGAAATTCCGAGGTTATTTTTGGATCGTTCTGATTTTAGATCTAGATCGATCGCCGATAAGGCCTCTGTCGCCAAAAAAAGTCGTGACAAATAAAATAAGATTTTCATTCCGAATTATCAATTCCCAAAATCCGGAGATTACGGATTAGACTTTGGTATTAATATCTCCATCGAAGGAGAACGACAAAGTACGTCATCCCTGGAGTTTTAATCATCACTAATGAAATAGTTTCGCAATCGTTATCACGTTGAGCCCCCGAGGCACCCGAAGTAATCTAGAATCAGAGGAAATTGCGGTGAGACGATTAACTCTTCGTCATCGATGAGGAAACCCACCCCCCGGAGAACACCCATCGAGAATCTTCGCCGCAACTAATCCGAAAGTGTCGATGACTTTCTTTATTCCGGTTTACTTCCGGTGATGGCAATTTAGCGACGCAATCCTCTGGTGATTCCCATTCGGGCCACGTACCTCCGACAACGAGCTTGTTTCCGGTTAGAGGAAACTCTCTCTATCAGTGAGAATAATAGCTCACTCTTTATAAAAAAAAATAAAACCTCCCGACCCCTCAGGACTCCCCAATTGGAAAGAGAAATCCGGAAAATGACTTTGAAATTTTGAAATTTTCTGCAAAGTGGAATTTTCAAGGACTTCAATAATTTTATAACGAATATAAAAAATATTGATTATTAAATCCAGTATATTATTATATTATACTATTCAAATATATTAATATATTAATATATTAATATAAATTAAACGGAATAGATTGGTAAAATATTTGAAATGGGTGTAAAGTATACTTGATGTATTTTTTTTTTTTGGCGGAGGGGTTGAAACGTTGAAGCTGCAAATGGCAATGGAATTGTTTCCACCTCGGACGCCATTTGCCGTTGATTAGGATGCGGTTAACTCCTTGGAATTCTCCGTCCCACTTTGGCACTACCGCCCACCACCCGTCCACTTGGAGATCCTCCACCCCACCAGAACCACTACCCCTCACTCGTCAGGGGGTGAAAAGCTCCTTTGGCCAACGACCCTACGTTATACGCCTGGCACAACCCCTCGCCATCCATCAACCCAAGTCACCATCAACAATTCGTGACGAGTTACACGTATCAGAGATCGAATACAATCAAATTTTACCAAATGCTCCCACCAGACCAATAAATACGTCATCTACGTCTTGCACGTCCTCCCCGTCCGCAGGTATCATTCATTACAACAAGAAATTTCCTTGTGATCGGTCATCAACAATTGAATATATTTTTTTAATATATTTTTCATAAAAGGTAACACTACTGCTTAATTAAATGAATTAAAATTTTTTTGTAAACCCTTGGATTCTCAAAATTAATTTCTTACTCTTGAAAAAAATCCACATTTTTTTTCATTAGTTAAATTAAAAATATATAATTAATCGTTTATATCTGAATAATGTAGTGCGCCATAAAATGAAAATTTTCAATTGGAAAATCGATTTGGGGTGAAATTTTCCCCTCGAACTGGACAGAACCCAGTGGTCAAGAGAAGACACTTAACTCCGAAATCGTAATGTCGAGTTGTGATTAGCGCATGGAAAAATTACCGTCCCTTCAAGTGTTGTTTATCGTCCAATGGGAATGGTGAAATAGCGGAGATAGAGTGACGGCAAACGGGACGAAAACGAGGGATGAACGAGGGGATGAAAGGGGATGGGAGGTCGGTGAGGGAGAAAGGGGGTGGACATAACGTGGCGGACGGCGCTTGCTCGCTCGCCCAAGGGGTCGCGTACCGTCGCGACGCTCTCGTCGTCGAGTTGATTGTCGCAGATCTTATTATCCCCTCTCGACCCCCCCAATCCACCCCCCGGGGGAGGTGGAACTCCCGGATAGGGGGATTAAGCTGGTGTGCGCGGTGAAGACAACTCGGAATGTACGATGAGTGTGTTGGAAGCCCGAGGGTAACCTCGTTAGCACTAATGACGGCACTCCTCATCCCCTCTGCTTCCCCTATTTTCTTGGAAAACCGCGTGAGCCAACTGCGAACGCGGATCGCTCTCTCGTGATATTATTTGCGGTTACACCCGAGCTTTGCCTCCCCCAGGACTCCAGAGGCGATTCCTACGTCGCCTGGTCATCGATCATCGATAATTCCCCTATTTAATAATTACACTTGTAATTTTCAGACTCAAATGAAAATGCAAAAAATTAGACTACTGAAAAATTACGCAGGAATTCAATGGAAATTTTTTTTCAGCTTCATAAAAATGCGAAGGAAAATTTCTGGGGAATTCTTCACTCAGGATTTTTTTGATTCCTTGAATTTCCTGGGAGTTCTCCATTTTCCGATCCATAAAAATGTGGAAAATAGCGGTAATAATTTCCCTGAATCATCCCTATATTAAAAATTCAAGTTTTCATTGACCAATTGAAATGAATGAAGGAAAAAATTAAATAATGGAAAATTAATAATAAAAAATATACTTCCCATGTACCCACATACGCCGAATACATATCCACGTATATAATACATAAGTCCTCCCACAAATTATAAATTATATAAAAGCGCGTACTCATAATTAATCTACATTCGCCCCACATACCGTTCCCACCCCCAAAAACCCCACAGTTCAAAGTACATAATATACCCGACGTATGTATAAGTGTGATGGCAGAAAACTAAAAGGTTTGGAATAGCGTTGAAATAGCGAGGTACCCTAATACGAGGGAGAGAATTCCGAGAGACTTCGCCGAGAAACAAACGATAGGAGTGAACAAGCAGTGAATCACCCAAGTGCTTGTTTACCAAGGGAATCAGGGATTCAGGGATGCCGTTACCCCATCCCCAGGACTTCCCTCTGAGAATCCATGAGAGATGCTTTTTATCTCCCCCTCTTTCGCCTCCCTCTCCCCCACCCAGTCTGCACTCATCGGGAGGATGTGTATTTCTCCCTCTTCCTCGAATTTACCCCCAGCTGTCCCTGGGAGAAATCGTACTCGACAGTTGGCATCTATACGATCCCTTGAATTTCTCGAATATAACGCGAGGCACTTGTATACACAGACACAAACTGCCTCCAGTCCAGGAAAACCCCATAGCGTTTACCAGTTGGAATCGCTAAATGTAATTCGGTTAAAAGGGTTTTAGCAATACAATGCATATAAACATGAGGGGTGGTAGGGAGGGGTGAAGGGGGGAGGGCCGGGGGGAATCTCGAGAGTCGTCGGTGCGGAAGTCAAGTCTATGGAACCGCCACTTGGATTTTCTCTCCTCTTATAAATTGTCGTGATCTACGGAAAAATTCTATTTTCATCCCCTATGCTCTATGCCCTATGCCTCCTCTCCCTCCCACCCCCTCTGCCCCTTTCCAATTGAATATCACATCATTCCTCCCAAAAAAAGATATGACGTCGGGAATTTTTTTTTTTTGGGTACGTGATTTGAGTGCGGTGATGATTTTATTGGAATTTAATTTTCAATTTTGATTTATTTAATTCGGGCTGGGGGTAATTAATTAGTTGATGTGATAATATAAAAGTAATTAAAAAACTGGTTAATTAATTAAAATAATAAAATTTTAAGTCAATTTTTCAACGGTGAATGTTGTGTTTTGGCTCATCATTGCGGTGAGGGGGTGCGAGGGGGGTGCGAGGGGGTACGAGGGGGTGTGATGGGGTGGGGTAAATACAAATGACTCGATTGACAGGAGAGGATTGGAGGAGTGCAGGTTTTGTCGAGTTGTTTTTTTTTTTTTTGTATCGATTTTTTCAGAGGAACTTGACGCTCGGTGAAGGGAGGGAATTGGCTCGATGCCGGGATTTTTTTTTTCAAGTTTTTTTTTTTTCCTAGTGGGCGATATATCGCCACTGCACGCTCGGCCAATTACGAAAAATGGACGTTACATTTCCCCGCTCGTTTCATCCCTCTTCTTTTCTGTATATATTTCACTCGGCAATTTGTCAAATTACCGGGGAGGGGGTGGTGGGTGTTTTTTTTTTTATCGGGATGCGTGGGTATGCGATATACCCCGATCTAATGGCATGTCATCCGGGGAAGGGGTGGACACGGGATTGGGCGCTCGTCACACGCCTCGACGACCCGGAATTATAATTCGACAAATTGGGATGATGAAATATATAACTCGATGAAAATGAAAAAGTTGTTTTTCCGGGCGGTGGGTACTAGGGGAATTAATTTTTTTACCGATAAAAATGGAGGGACGACTGACTATTTTGTTTTACACATTTGTAATTCCGAGATGAATCGCAAAATAAATGACGACTTTCCTCGATTCGAGATTCACTCAAAGAAATTAAATCGAAATAAAAAATTTAATGTTAAAAAACAATGATTAACCACAAAATCCGTTCAATCTCAGAGAACGATTTCTACGAAAACCGTAATAAAATCGAAGTTGTCAATTGAATACGAGGGATTTAGAGAATGGCTTTTCTTCGATTATCGCAATCATCATTTTTCCTGGTGATTGAATTCCTCCCCATCAAGTCTCCCCCGTACCAGAAGTATTTCACATCGTACTAACCGATCCAGAAGAAAATCGATGGTAATTCGTTAACTGCTTGAACACACACTTCCTCAGTCATACATACTCAAAACGAGTCTTACCCGTGAGATACCCATGCTTCCACCCGAGTGAATTCCATTTCATCCCAGCAACGATCCGCGAATCGAGATTTCCGTCCCCACGTACTGGAATTCGTAACTGGAAATTAGCATGTCATAAATACTGATGGGAGGAAAATGGCGACTGCGTCTAGTTGGCAGCCCTGGTACTCCATATCGTCTGGAATTCTCATTGGGAATCCCAAGCATTACCAAAATTGCCGAGTACAATCTCTCATCATCGAGATAAATTATCTGATGACAGAATTGCCCTCAGAAAAACTCAATTTCTCAAAGATAAAAAAATTCCCAAAAAAATTTCTGAAATCGAGAGAATTTTCTAAAGCGCCATTTTCTTCTTCTTTTCTTTTAATAAGTAAATTACTTGTTTAAAATACAACCAACGAATTAAATAAAATCCACAATTTTCCAATATTTTATCTCGATAATTTATTATAGGAACTTGTCGCAATATATTAGATTCTTCGATCATCACAATTGATTTCGTTCTATCTTAAATCGACGCACGATTACTATGTACAATTTTTCTCGTGTTCGTAGATTCGTATTATTTATAATTACGTTATATTACACAGGGGGAAATACATAAATATGTATAATTAATGCTATACCTAGACGATAACAAAGTCATTTGCTCTCCAACTCGTGTTCTGACAGAAGAATTGGGTCGCTATTACCAGGACTCAGCAATTCTTACAGAATCATTAATTTCCCTGAAAAACAGATTGCTCGCTCGTGATTAATCATAATTATTTGAAATAATATCAAACCGATTAAATTGCAGTACATGATCCATTAAAAAAAATTATGACTGTCAGCAATTAATTTCCACAAACCAATGAACCAAAAATCCATTCGTCAATTCTTTCTCATTGAACGAATTGATAAAAATCACTTTAAAATGCACTTCATGATAAAAATGATAATTAATCGAAATCCTTGATTTCCTCTTTCCAACAACTGCCTAGAAATTTCTACTGCAAATGGGGTCCGCAATATTTACATTCATCTCCAACGAAAAAAAAATTCAAAACGACTGATGCGAACGAAATTCTTCTATCAGTGCATGATTGACAATTTATCTAGAAACGGGGATAGCAAACGGGAATGGGACAAGGTGGACCACTGAATTTTCCAAGAAGACCATCGGTGCTCTTTGAATTTTGAGATAGACTATCTAAATCAAAATGGACCACAATTTCCCATTTTACCCCGCCTCTTTCATATATTTACAGGACGACATCGGGGACGTCAGTTCAGACGACGTAAGGCCTGTACAGCGGTTCACGAAGTTCGTTGATGAGTCTCGGATGATCATGAGAATTTCCCCGGTCATCGCTCGGTGCGGTTGCGCCACCTGGGGGATTCCCCGTTACCGTTGCATTGGCGGGGGTACGGGTGTCATCACTGCTGCCAACATTTTCCCTCTCACTGCTGGAGTTTGCCCTGGAGCCTCCACCCGGGGCCGTGTCCTCACTCTTGCTACCACCTCGCGCCTCCTGCTGGGCCTTTTTGCTCCTCTTCCACTTCATCCGACGATTTTGAAACCAAATCTTCACCTGAACATGAAATTCATTCCAACCATTACGAAAAATCATTTATTTATTTATTTCTCCGGTCAATTATTTCGAATTAGTAAATTAAAAAAATGGCAGCGTCGAAAATACTAATGAATAATTAATAACAATTTATCCGTAATTCTAATTTGGATTTACAGTAATGAATGATCTCAAGCGTAAGCACTCAATTTCTACGAGAATAAATTTGTATTCGCGATATGAGGCGAGTGTCGTAAATATAAAAGTAAGGGAGACGGAAATGAGGGTGAGAAAACCCGATTTTTCGCCCTTGCCGATTCGCTGGAGTACCATGTAAATCTCTCGGACAACATATCATGCAGAGCTAGAGTAGTCCAATCCCTCTCGTATACTCCCATATTATACCACCCTCCAGAAACATTCCTCTCATGCCTTCTTTTTTTTTTCACACATTTTATACCTCTCACTTGGCACATACGTGAGAATACCGATGGGGAAAGAGGGCAACGCCTCCAATCCATAAAACCTCAAAAGGATATGTCGTTACACGCGTCGTGTGAGCCACTCTCGGTGCTTTATACTGGAGTGTGAAGGAGAATTGAATCGGTAAATTATCGAAACAAATCAGAGTCTCAGCCCGGCTTGTAAATCCGACTTTTACCCCCTCGTGTGTTTGTCTTGTCATCCGTCACAGAGCGGGTACAAAGCTCTCGAGTTACGTTTAAGTTGACATTTGCTTGAGCGATTTTATGGGGTTTACGATATCACCGTGATGTTAACTTGATTGAATAGGAGACTGACGATAATTACATGACGAGAAGAATTTTTTTTAAAACAGGGACCAGCGACGCGCCGAACCGAACGGCGATTTTCACTACTGCCTACTTTTTCATGGATATCTCGACATCCAGGAGAGATACAGATTTTTTCATCATAACCGATTTCGTAGAGTTTGCCAAGCCTGACAAAAAAGGTCGTTACGAAAATATCGATTTGTGCCTTAATTTTAGAGATATCGCTGAAAAACTCACGGAATGTGAAAACTCAACCGACTGGAATTTTTTCCGGATAATTAATCCGAACCATTGATTGCTTTATTAAATTACTGTAATTAGAACCATTGATTTTGGGGGGAGGGGATACAAAACTACTGAGGAATGATTGAAATAGCTGTCAAGAATTATTTGTTCTTCTGCTGACGAATTAGGAGTAATGAAGTCATACCTGTGTCTCGGTGAGCATGAGTGACGTAGCGACCTCAAATCTCTTGGGTCTACTGAGATATTTATTCTGTCTAAACTGCTTCTCCAATTCCAACAACTGCTGCGACGTAAAAGCTGTTCTGGGTCTCCTAGTTTTACCCAGAAGGGCGTGCTGTGCTGCGCATCCTGAAAATAAGGATAAATTGTTGAGTAAACAGAGACATGTGAGCGATTATTTCTGCATGACCGGTTTACCCTTAAATCGTAAGTTTGAATGTATCGGAGGGGATGGTTATTTACGCGCAAAGATCATCCAATAAAAATCAGCCAATGCTAATGTAATTACAGGAAAAGGCATATCCCTGGTGAATTTATTTGGGTGTCGGTATGATTCGAGGGGTTGAAATGGGGGAGAAGAAAGAGCCGCCCCTCCAATTAGTCCAGCCAATGACTCTTCATCGGGGGGTGATCGCCCATTCACTTTCACCAGTCTCTCCTCAAAATTACACGGACCTTTTAATTAATCCTCGGGGTTTTATTTTTATTGCATTTATGGGTCATGCTGGGGCTCGATTGGGTCACATGATTCGGGACATCAGCCCGGATGATGACGAGGAGATTGGAGCGACTTAACGAACCCCGTGGCTCGTCACTCTGGTCTAGGGACCGGCTGTCAATGTTTGTACACATGGCAGTCGAGGATTTGACAGGATTACCGGTGGCGCATTCATTTTTAGATGATGTTTACAGGTTCTTCGATTTTTGCAGCATTCCACGATTTTTTAAAACTCTACCGAAAATTGCATTCTATCTTTTTTTAAGCGCAAATTTGTCGACAAGTTTTAGAGTACTTCAATGAATATTTAAAACCCCTTGGAAATTAAAAAAAACGGGAAATTGGAGTTTTGGTTATTTTTACAGTAAACATTTTTTTCATAATTTTCTAGAAATTTTTGGGAATGCAATTTTTTCCTTTTTTGATTTTTCGATATTTTCAAAAAAAACGCCATTTAAATTATAAAAAAAAATTCCTATTCAAATTTTTGAAAAATTTTTCAAAACCTTTCCGAAAAATAAATTTGTTTTGTTTTCCGATTTTTTTGTTTCATAAAAAAATCTTTCTGAAAAGTCTTCCAAAAATTTTTTGAAAACTTCAAAAAAATATTCCGATTACAATTATTTTTTTACCCCTGTCCACGATGAAAAAACCTTGATTAATTGAAAAGTGATAAGGAAAATAATTATTCACAATTACCGAACAATGAGTGCCCCATATGGTCTTAAAAAAAAAAATGCGTACACACGTGTCGAGTGGACATAAGGACAAGAGAACCGGTGAAAAAACCCGTGATATTTATCCACATAATATTGGAGATGCTGGAGTATCTAGTCCCATTGACACTTAGCATTTAGGATGTAGCATTTAGCGGGCTATTTATCGTGGGGTAACGCCAGGATGGGTGCCCCCCTGTGGGCCCCATATGGCAGAGACGATTTGTCCATGGGTGTCCCTTATCCCCCGGTTACCTCTCCCCCTCGAGTTTCATCACCTCCCCCCTTTCTCATTATGACAATTACGTGGATGAATGATTCCCTTTATAACACTCTGGAGTTTAATGGTTACCCCGTGCAGTCAGGATGACACTCTGATTTATCTTTATCGTACGACATTAAGTTTATATTTTCGGGATCAATGGGTTTAAAGTACTTCAAGTGCCACCGAGGAAATCCTCGGGTCATCAGGGAGTCCATTATTTTTCACTGATCAATGGAATGGAGTCTGAGAAATTTCCAGGATTAATAAGAAAATGAAAATTTTTTGTCATCAAACCCCCAGGGGCCCGATCTAGGATTGTTGGAGAAAGTGACTTTTTCCAAAATTCCATTTTTTCATAAACTAATTATTAATTTCCCGTAGTTCCTGTATTCGCTCTATAAATAATAATGAAACATTTGAAGAAAAAAAAAATGTAAAAACGATGGAAAATCATGATAATGATAAATAAAATGAAGAAAATAAATAGAGTAAATAAATAAAATATCATATCCCCTCCAATTCGAAAGGGCGATACTCCCATTCACTTTCGAAATCATTCGAGTGGAAAAATCAAAGAAAAATACAGGTTGACACGGAATGGCATCTCGTGTATCTCGTGCGCGTGCAGATCATAAACAGTGACAGATGTCTGTAAACAAGAAGGGTGGCAAGCTTTATCGAATGGACAATACTACAATTCGCGCTCTCGTTTTCTGACCCCGCGGCAAATTTCACGGAGAGAGCTGTTTATCCGTTGTTATAGCTCTCAAAAAGAAGAAAGATGGAGAGTGACACCCGCCTGAGGGGAGAGCAAACCCAAGAAAATGTGTTGGGGTGTGCTCCCCCCTTTATTATGATAATTTAATTTATCTGGGGGTTGCATCGGCCGATTCATGCCATTCATAATGGCGTACCCTCGATAATCAATCTAATACCGACGGTCGCGGTGGTAAACGCACCTATTATGTGCACTCAAAGTGACACTAAATTACTGTCAACATTCGTGGAATTAAAAATGACGAATCAATCAAATTTTTACCATCACTGATAAAAAAAAACCCTTAAATCCTATGAATTTTTTCCACATCAATTGAAATAAATGATAAATCAAAGAATAAAATTGAAAAATAAAACATAAAATTTTGATCCACAAAATACTAATTGAAATTTTTTATAACATTCTCCCTCAACGAATAAAAATGTTGTTAATTAATTAATTACTGTTGTTAATACGAGAAATTCAAGTAATAATTTTATTTGACACCGAATTGTAAAATGGAATAAAAAATTCAGTGACAGATTGATATAATAAAAAATTGAGATGACGTCGTGAGTGAAATAAATAATTCTTCAATCAATTTTCACCAGTGTAATGACAAAAAGGAATGAAAAATTGTTGGATTGTACTAACGAAGTGGTAGAGCTCTGGGATTTACCGTAATTACCCCTAACAGTCCTTTTACACAGCCCTCAGTACACCTGTCCACCCCTATTCAAATGAGGTGAACCACCTAAAATAACACTCACCTAACTCGCCATTCTGATTAAACCAATTTGATGATTAATAGCCGAGTAATCAACACCCCAATTGGTCCAAAATGCCGCCGATTAACCCTTCAACTGCTCACATCAGCAGTTAAGGGGATGAAGGGCTAGTCCAGGGGTAGTTCTAATGACTGGACATTAATTCGTTGGTAGAAGTGTTTCCAGGTTGAGGCATCCTCAGCTCATCGCAATTGGCATCATCTGGGGGTGCCACAGGCCCCGCCCTACCACCCTCAATCTCACCCCTATGCCCCGCCTTCTCCACCAAGTGAAAATACTTCAAGTGGCAATTCTTCGTTTCCTTTTATAACGCGAGAAATGCAGACGGGGCATCCTTTAATCCACCAGTCATCCCCATTCCACTCTCTTACACCACGAAAATCCTCACCAGAGAGGGGATAGCGTTTAGGAGAGTTGGCCAACTTTTATCGGGCCATTTTCCTCAGCCTCCAAATGGCCAAATTTAATCCCAAACTCTTCAGCTCTTTTGGCTTGCCACAAATCACGTCGTAAACATTTGGGATGCGGTGTTATGGTATTCCTGGGATTTCTTCGGGTATCATTCATAATTCTTCGGGGGTGGAGAAAATTCACCATTTTTTTTGCGTTCAGCCATTTTCACAGGAAAAATTTCCCGGCTCCAGGGAAAATCCAATTCGCACAGGACCAGAGAGATTTTTTCATTCTCAAGTCACACAATTCCCGCGTCTTAATATCAATTTGTTTAATTTCCCCAGAATTTTCCATTTATCAGAAATTCAACTGCACGTGATGGGATTTTCTTTTGAATTTTCCAGAAAAATGAGAAATTAAAAAAAAAAATGAGAATTTTTATGGATAATTGAATTTTTATGATAATTCACATAACTGTTAATTTCAAGAAATTATTGACAATGAGTGACTGAAAATTTGCAATTGTATAATGCAATGAATTTTAAGGAAATATTTCAGTCGGAGAACTTGAAGCCTGTGGATGTCAGGATTCAGGAAAGGATAGTCTCAAATAAAATTTCAACGTGCAGTAATGTCGGTAAGCATCAAACGCATGTGGTCAGCCAAAATGTACATAAATTCAGGGTAAAGAGGTCTGAATACAGTAATACATTGGTTAGTGGTGGAAGCGTGCGAGAGGCCAGACACGAATGTTACACATCGGGTAACCAAGATCTGTTTGCTCGCGGACAGCCAAACTAGCTCGGAGCTAATTCAGAAACACCATTACCACCGATATACGCGCCAGCGATCGGCAATCCAGAGGGCCCCGGGGTTATCCCTGTGTATGTTGGCTCATACTGACAACATTCTCTATTTGCAATACATCCAGGATATTTCCTAGTGTAACTACTGTGCATGAGCTCCATTTCCATTTATTCTGCGTGAGATGCGCGCGCCATCGCACGCCCCTCAGACCGATACCTAAAAATTGATTCACTTTTGCATCAACTAAAATTCACCAAATAATACCATTGAAATTGCAGAGGAAAGAAAGTCAATGAAAGTTTAAGCGAAATTTCGAGAGATTTTTTGGGAATTTATTGATTGATTTGTTTATTTATTCACTCGAATTATTGACAATTACTTGTAATTAATGTAAATAATGGAAATTGTAAATTTCCTGTAAATTCCCATTTTATGAAAAATTTCCAATTTAATCGAGGAAATCTTCCAATTAATTTAGTCCATCGCGTGTTTTAATAATTTATTTACAAAATTCATTGAGTTAATGATAAAAAAAATGGAAATCACAAGTTAAAATCAGGGATGAGATTGATGAAATAATTTCCTTGAAATCTAAACGGAATTTCGTTCATGAGATTCAAATAGCTGAATAAAAAATGCAATTTTTTTTTCATGGCGATGTGCACCGGATGCGCCAAGTCTAAAGCAGTTGCCATAGAAACCATGGGAATCGGTGATGGCGAAAGAGTGAGAGAGGTAAAGAGGAAAGGGAGGGAACAAACCCTCGGGTTTGTTGTATAACGAAGAGTGAGAGAGAATTGAGTGGAAGGCTGAGGGGATGAATAGACGGATGAATGACGCACAATTAACTAATTAAATCATCCGTCGACCCTAACTCGACGCGAGTTCCACTCGTCTCCGGAGTATCATCCCTTGCCCTCCCGATTCCCTCCCCCTCGTTATATCAACCCACTTTCATCATTTTTTTTTTCTCATTTCGATTAGCAGCGGCCCCTCTCTGCCCCCAACGATCGCTCGTTTGTCCAGAATTCAGTGAAAAAGAAGAAGAAATCCCGGGAAAATTGTAATTGCTCGGGGCACAAAGGTTCACGATAGTTTGTCAAAGTAATTGAGGATTTTCCACCCGGAGATATTTCAAATCAAATATTGTAATTTCTACCGACAGAACTCGATAAATTTGCACCGAGATTGTTCGATTATTTCCTTGCGTTCGAAAATATTTTACCAGTGAATAATTGCCCAATGAGTAATTGGATTAAGAATTAGTGTTTATGTCTGAAATTAATTCTTCAAAAATTCTTCCGAGCGTCAAGTGAATTTTCGGATAATTTTATCCAGCGATATTCTAAAATATTTATAGAATCCCTCGATCCATCCCCAAATACCCATAAATTCCCGAATAAACCAGTACAGACAGTACTAGTTACCCCCCTCCCCCCAAAAAATTGTACCCCACATAAAAACAAGGAATAGACACCGTTAAAACACGCTGTAGAACCATATAACCCCGCGCCAATATTTCCCAAATAAAAATCGGTAGCAACACGCTATTTACAATTTTTTTCCTCCCCCCGCGATTCTCGGTTATTGTTTTATAAAAGTCGGGAATTCGCAGGCCGTAAAAATTCGCAATTTCCCCGGTCTGTCCATCGTTGTCACATCGATGGGAATTGGCTGGCCATGCGAGAGAGAGCACCTATTTTTTTAAATCTTTTTTTCCCCTGCAACTACCAATCAGGATCATCTGACAGAAACTGCACCGATCCCCCTCCCCCCAGCCATCAACGAGCCAATTTGTTCGATAAAACCGTTGGACTGATTGCCCTGACAGACTGACCACCGCAAAGTTTTTCCAGAAAAAAATGAATATTCCACGAAAGACCTTTCGCACACGATTGGAAATTTTACACTGAAACTCCCGTTACAGTAAAAAAAAAAATTTACCGAATCCCGTGGACAGTTTCACTGGAATTCCAGAGAATTCCCTGCAACCCCAGAATTTTTTTATCCCACAAAAATTTGATAGAAACTCAAGCAAAAATTTTCATCGATTTCCATTTCCTGAAATTTCGCTAGAATTCTTTAAAATTCCCAAAATCTGCAGAAAAGCGCAAGACTGTCAAAACTCTAAATCCAAATTTGAATTAAAGGTATTTACCTTAAGAATTCTCGATAATATTTCGGACAGTTGTGTCCCTCCCCAAAAAAAAGATATACAATATTGGAGTAATCAGTGGGACAAACTGGGCGCGCGATAAGGTGTGTACCTTTCAGCTAAAGAGATCTCCCCAAACGAGTGATTGTAGTCCCGAGGTCTTCGGTTATTAGTCTTATCAGTCGCCAGACGATCGAGAGAAAATGAAAAAGAAAAAAGAAGAAAAAAAAAGTGGAGTAGCATATCCGGTTGGATAGGCACTCATCAAACAGTCCATTAGACATGTCAACACCGGTCTATCTTGTCCCGCGTGGACAATCTGTCTTTCCCATGATAGTGTCGCCTAATACATCGTGAAAATGAGATAATAGTCAGCAATAGGTGTCAAGAGCTAATGAAACAACGACAAGGGTTAGAATCATCAACAACATCAAGCTAAATCAAGCAGCAGATGTTCCCTTATCTCAAAAATGCTAATGATGTATTTAAAATTTGTACACATGTGGAAGCTTGTCCTTTCAAATACCCCGTAGTATCAAAAATTTGTACCGATTCTGTTACCGATCTATCGTGAATAACAAGTGTTAAAAATAGACCACAAGATTTAACGGTAGACCCTAGGAAGCTAGAAATTGGAGTGAACCAACAGTTGTACAAAGAGCAAACAGTCTTACGTAATGACAATAGGTTTTTCCATCAATTGCAGGGAATTCATGTCATAAGAAGAACCGATAATCGATACCGAGAAGCGATAGCCGATCACCAATAGCCCGTTGCCGTCGCTCTCTAGTATTACCGATGACAATTAATGCCATTAAAACCCCAAGTGGTTTATTACTCTCGAGATCGGTATCGATTTTTTTTATCATCAAGATCACAATTTGGATCACTCAAAAGACAATCGCACTTTCTTGTTAATTTAATTAATAATTATTTCAATTTCAAAGTCATCGTGGATGCAGTCAATCAATTAACGTTATCTAAAGATCGTTATTTTAAAATACAATTTGATAAATCGTTATCGATTTTCATTTTTTCGATTGGAGTCGAATTCTGCAGTTGAATTTTCAGTGTGGAAATCCCGATTGAATTTTAATCTTTGCAATTGCATAATTGAGACGTACTCAACATTTTTTAATGCAAAATCGTAAACAGCAGTTGTGATTGCCGTGGAGATGCCAATGACCTTGAATTATATGCAAAGTGTATTTGAGAAATGCTCACCAGCTAAATCAGCAGGCAGTCTTGGGTAGAGCATTCCAGTCCTGGCCAGCCACTCAAGCTGCAGAGGATGAATGTGATGGGGTTGCTGAGCCTGCTGCTGTGGATGTCCAGGTACAGAGCCTCCAGTAGCTCCAGCATTCCTGGAGTGTGCCTGCCCCAACTGCTGTGCATCCTTGTGTATAGAGTGAAAGGCACTGGTGGTGCCACCAGGATGATAATACAACCCAGAAGGATGAAGAATGGGTCCACCAGAGTGTAGAAGAAGTCCCTGTTGATTCTGTCGCATAGCGACGGCGACATTGACACCGGTGCCGAGTCCATACGGTGTAACACAGGCCAGTCCTTCATTTCTGTGTCCAGGATGTCCAATACCCTGGATAGCCGATCCGCCGAGAGGATTCGTCGCCAAGTCTTCGGAGCCCGGTGATATCGGTGGACTGGACACCGGACTTCGACTGCCATTGCTACCTGGACTGGCACTGGAGGTTCTCCTTCCAGTTTCGTCTTCCCTCATCTCCTCGACGTCGACATCAGTTCCAGTCTCATCCTCGATGTTCTCGATATTCTCTTCGGAATTTCTCTCGAACCTTGCGGCATCAAGCAGCGCGTCATTCTGATTGGGAGGAAATCCCCCGTAATGGGATAACCGAATACCACTGGAGTCTCTGATTGCCTGGAGCATCCTGGAGCCCTGATTACCACCAAGTGGCAAATTTCGATCGGTTCTAGGTACGAAGGGATGCAGGGGATTCCCCAGGGAGCCGGTGGTGCGTCGTGGGGCGGGTGGTGGGAGGGAAGGATCTCCACTGATCGGGTCGTCGTCCTGTCTGGGCTTGGCTGTTCTACCCAGGAGTGCGTCGATGCAGAACGACGTCTTCCCGGAGGATCGTTGACGTCCTGGGGATAGCTCACGTGCATCAGGACCCTCTGGTGAACACATACCCGTTTCGCTGTAGCACCGATCGTCATTGGAATCCTCACGGAAGCGTTTTGCTGGCTGATGGCTCTCGTCGCTCGACGATTTTCCCTCGATTCGGCTCGACTCGTAGGAGCCACTCAGGAGGCGGCAGTTGACGTCGGTGTCCGAGGAGTCTCTCCTGGATTCACCACTTGTCATGTAATTCAGGTTGTTCGTACTCAGGGGCGATGCGGCGTCCGGCGAGCGCGCCTCCTCGGAGCTCGGCGAGGCACCTGATTCATCGAGGTAAGGATGACGGTGTCGTGGGTGGTGTATCTCCTCGGCCACAATCGTCGTGTTGTAGTGCATCGCAGCCATGTCTCTATCACTGTCAACTTCAATGCATCTCCAATCACATCAAGAATTATCAAGGCAACACGATAAACACTTGAACTTTTAAAACTTCTGGGTTTTTTTTTTTTTTTGAGTATTCCACTGGGTTCAACTGATAACGAAATCGCGAATACGGAGACGGAGTTTAATGAAAAAATCGATAATCGATTTGGGGGTGATCCGGGATCGGTGGAGAGTCGATTCAGAGTCGATTCAGTGTCGATTCAGTGTCGATTCAGAGTCGATTCAGAATCGATTCGGTGGTGATTCGCAGACGATTCCTACACCTACGAGAATTTGTTGACCGAACCGGTGTCGACTGCGTCGCAAAGTGGAATCCGACGGTGGTGTGTGGGGCACCGCGTGCGTTCGTCCCAAAAATCTTCCCCTACTCTCGTCACCGATATAGTCGATCTTCTGGTCTCCACCAGAGCGTTTGGCGATTTAATCGAGGGTGGAAGGAGGGGGATATGCGCTCCGCCCCCGAGTCGGCCAACACACGCTCAAATCATCGACATTCCCAGAGCCCCGCCCTCCAACCACCCACTCGAGGGGGAGAATTTTCGGGTGGAGAAGGGATGTGGAAGGGGATGCTGCGCCACGTTTACCCTCTTTTCTCATATACGAATTTTTGCCAATTCAGGGGTGGCTAGATCTTTTGCGGATTTCTAAGCCAATCGTCTCTTTTGCCGACACTTGGGTGGATCGAGGGGGTTGGGTGGAATGTACACTGCATTTCCGGATATCCGGCACTCTGCCAAGATTCCGCACCACCGACAGCCCGCGGTGGGGGGTGAAGACGGGGGTTTTTTTCATTAAAATGTCTTGCGGATGATGATTCGCGGGTTCCCGGGGTAATTGACGAGGAAAAAAAAACGCGTCATACAGATTTACGCGATTTTCTCAGTTTTTTTAATTTTTGGCATCGATGTGAAATCTTCCGCCAATTTCCTACCGTAAATTCCATACAAAGGCTTGGTAAATATTTTAATAAATCATTAATTACGGTGTATCATGATATAGGATTAATTGATATAAATAGATTTGACATCCATTTTAAATCGAGACAATACAGAATATTTTTACAATTAATTCAATTTCGAGTGAAAATATCTTTTCGTACTTTTTCAAAAATTTAATTTAGTTTAGGTTTTATTTTCGTGAGATGATAGATCAATGGATAATTATCAGAATGGTGAAGATGGAAGAATTTGACTCCTCCACTTTGGGAATGATTTTTGGGAATTTTATTTCAAATACCAGTCGATAAAATGAAGTCGAGTCGATTTTTATTTTCAAGTGCGCAATAAGGCGTGTATTAAAATTTAATTTGTTTTCTTCTAGAATTCAATATCTGGAAGAAACACATGTGTCCGTGATGGTTTAGTACATATGGGCTATTATGATCCCACCGAATTTCCACTAGAACGCACTATCTATTATGATGTGGTATCATCTATTGTTTTGGTTTGTGTGCTAATATGATAGGCGCCCACAATCTCGATATCGATACAATGACGACCTCAATGTAAACTCAGACCCACAGCAAACCCCTCGTGTGGTTCGCCATTAGACGGTTTATCTCATTTTTTTTTGCTGAGTTAATCATGAATTTAGTGATGTATCATTGGAAAAATTTATCGAATGATTTTTTCCGAGTGATAACGCAAAAATAGAATGACTTGGGAATAATCGGTAAATATTTCATGAAAACTTGTTGAAATTTTCATGAAAAGCCGGGTAATTCGGCTTTGGCCATTTATTCGCTGAATTATCTTTGAAGCTCATGCGTTCGTTAATTTTCAATTGAGAATTCAAAATTTTGGGAAAATTAATCGAATGGAAATGTCAAAATTTTTCAATTTTATGACATTCTGGAGAAAATTACTCATTAATTGATGCGAAAATTAATTCAGAAAAATCCTGGGTTGCAATTAAATTCGATGTTTCATTCGTCGATTTCCAAAGGTTCCTGTAAAAATTAAAATGCCCCACCTAATACATAATTATCGAAAAACAGAACAATTTCAAGGTTTTTCCCTTGAAATGCCGATTGATTTTCCAGTAGACTGAAATCGATTGTACAATAAATATTATTCGTTGGTGGAAATTTTTGGAAAAAACCGGTTTTATAAAGTTCAATCACCCAAACCTATTGATTCGTGATCATGAGGCCAATGAGTATGCGGTGTTGTTGACAATAATAATCGTTAACCGGTAAAGGACTCAAGAGAGGGATCAACAATTGAGGTGGAGCCCGATAACAGGTAATTTGGGAGTTAGATGAGACATAGACATCAACTAGATTGGCTTGCTGTTGAATTTCATATGGATCTGTTATAAATGTTGACGCAGCAGGTCTTGGAATTTATTTCAGGTTTATTTTTTTTAAACCGTTTTTAAACGCTCTCCACGCGGTGGAACTCCCGCAGGTCGGGACACTTGACGATACGAGATGTCACACTTTTGAAATATGATGGATCACCTCGTAAAGACATTGGCTCTGAGGTAGCTGCATTAACGTTCGTATAATGTAGCCAAATAAGAGAATACGGGATCCGAAGGTAAATACAAGCGTGAATGTTTGGATAAGGGGAAACACCGATGCCAGGACGTGAGCATTTTGTCAGTATTTCTCTTTTCTATTCTGTTCTGACAATTTGTATTTTTGTCCGTCATCATCAATTCGTCGTTTTTATTTTTTCGTTTTTTCAATTTTATTTAACCCTCGGGACAGATTCTGTTGTGATGTGGTAAACTAGGATGAGTGTATTTTTTTCAACGCCAGTTTTTACCCGATATCTCGAAATCGAAGGGAGATAACCAGTTTTTTATAATGACCTTTGTTGTAGTGCGCGTTATTTTCTATAAAAAATGTTTATATGAAAAATTCGGTGTGGGTCTTCAATTTCGAGATATTGACTAAAAACTGGCCTTGAAAAAATACTGATTACTGGCAGCTGGACGTATCGTTAATCAAATCGATCCAGTCGTGAATTAGATTAATGCGCGATGGAGATTAATAATAATATCGATCGTTTCGATTTATCCAATAGGTTAATTATGGAATGTATTGATAATTTATCAATAAAAAACTGGAGGAGAAGGAATTATTTTAGTGGGATTCCTGGAGAATTATCTGCTGGTTCCACTGTCATTCGATTTAATCTCCCGATCGTGATATATTCGCTAATCGATCGATAACCACAAGCGTAATTAATGATTTCACGATTACGCGGGTACCATTGTCATCCTATCGCTGATTTTTTTCTAGCGATAAGTGATTACTCATCATTAATGATCGATTACCTCGGAAAAGAATCGAGAATCGCACTCATTCGATCGGTATCAGATAATCGACACTTTTTGTACATTTTGCCGATGATTCTCAAGGCGTTGTTCGTCGAATGAATTTTTGTGATTCACTGATCATTTTAGAACCGAAATGATGAAACGATTTTAACCGATTTTCAATGGTCATTCGTTTTTTATGAATATCTCGCTATTTAGGGCTGATATCGATATTTTCGTAGGGACCTTTTTTGTAAAGCTAATTCATTGCTATGGAAACGGTCCTTACGAAAATTCAGCTGTTCCTCTTACAAACGGTGATATTTTAAAAAATCGTTTTCACTCTTCGAATTTTTTTCGAATTTTCATGAAGAGGAACAGCTGCGACGAAAAATCGGTATCATTGGAATTTTTTTTTAGCTAAATCTAATCTCGCTGATCCCTCATCTAGCCACTAATAATCCTAACGATTATTAGATGACACATTTGCGCAACTCGAAATAATCGTCCTGCCATGACTAAAACCCAGCAAATCCTTACCAATATAATTTTAATTATTCGAGATATCCTCTTATCGAGGGATTTACAATGCGTCCAGACAAACACATTCGTATCGCTGATTGTGGCGATAATGGTATTTGGTGGGCTTTAGTGAGAGGAAATTGATTGCTCAAATTTTTATCGATAACTCGGGAAACACGAGAACTTATCGATCCCCAGGGGATCAAATCTCAATTACCAAAGGTGACGTGCATCGTAATCATTAATAAATAATAATAAATCTGAATATCTGAACAATTTCCACTGACTGCATAACATTTCTGATTTCTTTGAAAATCTCGATTCCACTGAATTCTCCCTACAATGAATGTTTTAATAATAAATAGTCAAATAAAAATCAAAAATTATTCCTCAAATATGGAAATAAGTCCTTCAAAAAATAATTCCCAAAGATTTTCCAAAACCGATAACACCTGATGAGATGTAATTCACCTGATAATAAATAATATTATCGAATCCAACAGAATAAAATAGAAAATGGATTATAAAAAAATCACCCGAATCCCTAAAAATGGCAAAAACACTCATCAATCTCCGCGACAAAGAGGCAATAAAAATAGATTAAGATCACGAGATAAGAATTTTTTCCCGGTGGTGCTATCAGAAAGTAATTAAAGCCGGATCTAATCACACCAGTTGAATTGAAACAGCGATCGTCTCCAATGCATCGTTGCAAATAAATTACCCGAAGTACGTGGAGTTGTCCCCCACAAGAGCAATCATGCCACTTAACCAGATCCCCAGGAGATCCGTCGACGACTAATACCTCCGTCAAGGGTTCTGGTTCCTCAGATGATTCCAGGAATCGGAGGACAGATACGTTAATACGAGTGAGACACCACTAGGTTAAGCAATCCCCCATCAAGGACCTCTCCCGTAATTAGAATCTCCCCAGGTTATCCCCGGAGGTCGTCCTGTCCTGAATTCCCTCCATTCCCTCCAGTTCCTCCATTCCCTCCACTCCCTCCATTCCCCTCATTCCCACCATATTCCACACCACCCCAAGCCGACCATTACTTTTAATGGCGTTGTTAATGAAACTAGGTGTCGCCAAATTAACCTCTCGTTCCAGGAGTGCTCAACCCCTAGATTCTTACCTCAACCCTCAACATTCCCCAAAATATCCCGTCAACACCCCCAAAATCTTCACCCCTCAATGAAACCTCCACAACTTCCCCACCCATCAATAATTCCAATAAACAACATTCACTTTGAAGATAGATAAAACAATTATCGTGAGGTGTTCGCCGGTAATTGAGCGATTCTCGGGTGAAAATAGTTAGCCTTGAAATACCCTGAGTCGGCTGGTGCGAGTGGAAAAAGCCGAGTATGAAAACCACTGTAGAGGGCTGATTACCGCGGTAACCACCCCCCAAGCGCCAATTAATCTTAACTTTTACGGGGCAAACACTTTTCATTAAGCCCATCCCCCTCACCGGTATTTCCCCACTCAACTGGTTTTTCCCCATTTCCCTGGCCTCTCCCTCCGGTGAGCAATCCCTTTTACCACCCCAATTCCAGGGAACCCTGGAGTCTCCTCGCTGTTCACTCCGATCTACACCCTTCCACATCCCCTAGATCCTCTTTCTCGCACCCCCGCTGGTGGGTGGGTGGTAGCCGTTTACTGGGAGGGGAAGGAAAATGGCTCCCAGGACAAGCGTTTAATCTGGCTCTAATTAGCGACTTACCCTCATCCTCATCGTCGGGATGCCTTCACCCCCTCGGGTACCTTCTCAACTTGCCGCTCTGTTTTCTAGAGTTATACTACTTCGGAGTTGACTTGATGGATTTCCAACATTTTTTGTGTAGCTCCTTTGGAAATTCCGAATTTCCGAATTTATTACAACCTAGAAGGAAAAAATAATTTCATTATTAAAGAAAATTAATAGTTATCATTTTATTTATTTCAGTGCAAATTGATTATTTCATTTTTTCTATCCGCAGATAATTATTTCAGGATATTAATGATTGTAGAAATTATTCAGGTGATAGTAATAATAATAATTCGAAATAATTACTGTTTAATAATAATAATTCATGGAGTATTACAGTAAAAAAACTGAAGAGAATTTTTTAAAGAAAAAATAAATAAACATTGAAGTAGATACGATAAAAAATTGATGAATTCCTGAATTATCGCTTGTTACTTTCCGGAGTAATTGAATTTCTCTCTGTACATTATTTTCATGATCATCAGGTGGCAATTGTACCACCAGTAGATAATCCCTTCCTGATGGCAGACTCACCAGTGAATTTTCAGGGGCAGCACCCGCTTGTGCCTTCGAATGACTTCCCCCGATTTTCCGAAATTCAAATTTCATCGCGGAATTCAGGAACTCGTGGTCTGGAAAAAGAGATAGTGGGGGAGTGAGCCACGTGGTGTATATCAGATACAAATACGATTGAAATAAAAAGTGTAGCTCGTGTGTCGATCGGTGAGAGGATTTTCAGCTGTGAATTGCGTTCAACTTTCATCTCCTATCTACGGTTTGGGCATTATCACAAAGATTGGAAGAGATAAAATAACATTCTTAATTTAATCTTGAGCACCAATCGTTCCTCGACATGGTTCAACCTGAAAATTCCCCTGTGCCAGTAAAATTGTGTGATAAATTGAAACTGAACTCGTACGACTTCGCGTGAGTAAAGGTGCCACATGTGTCCGCCATTCAATAAAAATTCATAAGTCAGGAGTATGTTATCACTCGATCCATGATAAACCGTATTCATCGGCACCAGTGGTGCCTCGCGTTATTGATTATCGTGATAATAATTTCCCTCATCTTCTACCTGACGAATATAGAAAAAGCCGATTTCATTGACTGGAGAATTAGAAAGTGGCAGGTTCTCCAGGAAATTGATCAGTTAAAAAGAACAGCTGAGAAGTTCAAGGTAAATACATGACGGAATAATCAGACCTTTCATTTACACTCAAGGAAAAAAATCCGCGGATAATCCGTGATGTTATCGAAAAAATTGTCAAGTACTGACGCGTGTTATTATTTATTCACGGAGGATCGATGAATTGTTGAGGAATTGTTATTGATATCCAGGAAGTGCATTCTCCATGGCTGTCCAGAGCGAATGGTTCTGGAAACGTGAAGACAATTCTTTATTGGAATACGATGTATGCTGAGAAGCACCGACACTTCATGTTTGGCACTGGAGATGTTTTTCGTGATTGTCCAGTGTCCCATTGCTATGGGACCCCCAACAGATCTCTCATGAAGAGTCTTCAGGATTACGACGCCATTCTTTTCCACGGCATCGAGATGAACATCAAGGATTTGCCTACTGCAAGGTCTGACTTTCAGAGGTACATCTTTTTCTCCTGGGAGTCCTCAGCATCCAGGTAATTCGGTGGAACGAAAGGGAGATACTAGAATGTAACAATTTTTTTAGCAAGTCTCACCTCATCGTTTTCATTTAATTTTTTTCTTCCAGACCGATCAATGATCTTTATTTTGTCTTGGCCCCTAATTTCTACAACTGGACGATGTCCTATCGCCTAGACTCCGACATCAGACGGCCCTACGGCAGAGTGAGGGACCTCCTGACCCGCGAAATCGTAGCCCCACCTGGAGATCCCGGGGGGATCGTCCCCTGGAGGAGTCCTGACCCCCATAAACCCAGCGATGGGGAGTTGGAGATCATCAAGTCGAAGAGGAAAATCGCCGCTTGGTTCGTCTCTCACTGCGACACCCGTTCGAGGAGAGAAACCCTTGTGAAAGAGCTTGGAAAATATTTTGAGGTAATTACTCAATCCAGTCCGCAAATTAAAGATCAATCGAGGAATACGTTAAATGATCGGTAGAAATTTTCTTTTAGGTCGACACGTATGGAAAATGTGGAGATCTCGAATGCGATCGGAACAACAATGACGAGTGCTACGATCTCTTGGAGCGCGACTACTTCTTCTACTTCTCCTTCGAGAACACCTTGTGCAGGGACTACGTAACGGAGAAGCTGTTCCTCCCGATGTCGAGGTACGTAATTCCGGTGGTGTACGGGGGTGCGGACTACTCGAAATTCGTCCCTCCGCACTCGTACATTAACATTATGGACTTCAACTCGACGCACGAGTTGGCAGAGTACCTGATCAGGTTGTCAATGAGTCCCGTGCAGTACGCGTCATACTTCTGGTGGAAGAGCCACTACCTCATTGAGGACACAACCAAGTCCACACTCTGCGATTTGTGCGAAAAACTCCACAACGATCAATTACCAAAGAAAAGTATCGATAATTTCACCGACTATTATCTCACGGATCAGTGCTACTCGCCAGGAAATCTATCCTGGAGCAACTCGATGTACCTCAGGAAGAATTAAAAATGTGCAAATCGGCGAATGTTGAATTAAAAATTCATCAGAAATAGTGGAATAAATCCAAATTTTTATCTGTGTCACACAATTTTTCGTGGGACATTAAAAAAAATGTTAAAAAACTTACGGCAGACTAAAGTAAAAATTCTAATTACTTCTGTAATTCGTGGGACTGTTACCTAATTTGTACTTTTCTCTCGGCGCACCTGACAGGTGTCAATTATGCTTGTGGCACGATCACATTCTGATGTTCCTCATGTTTAATTTGAATAGCTCTCATAACTGTCCCAACTCATAATGATGATATCCATATCTAAGATAAACACCCTCGATACTCAGTGCTGTTGTTAATTAATTTATTGATAAATTTACGTAAATAAAATATGCATTTTCTGAACGTCATGGTCCTTACAACGATTCAACAGTACAGATAACTATACAATTTTAAATATATCTACATAAGAATTGGGTTGAGAAGTCTCAGGGGTGAATAGACTTTGGTAAGTTGGCTGGCGATTCGAGGGAATAAATAACGGGAAAGGGATTTCAGCTCATCACTTTGTCTATCCACGGTACGAATTTCTGGATATTCGTGTAGACACCTGGCAGGTGTTCGCGTCCACAGCCAATGCCCCAGGACACAAGCCCTATGAGGACGTGCCTACCTTCCACTGCCATCGTTAAGGGCCCCCCTGAGTCCCCCTGAACAGCAATTAAAATCAATTAATAAATATTAAATTAATCGGATCATCCTTTTCTTCGTGTGTTGACGTACTTGACAAGAGTCTCTTCCTCCTTCTTTATATCCAGCGCAGAGAAAAACGTCGTGGATGGTTTCTCGTCTTCCCGCTGCTCTGAACCACCGCTGACATCTTTCGTTGGGTATCACCTTGAATTTTAAAAGATCACTGCATATTCTGGAGATTTAATTCTGTTCTCATTTTGTATTTTTTACTCGTTAAACTGACAATTGCGAGGAGAAGTAAATAAACTGAGTCAATCATTTGCATTTATGCCTCGACATTGCTCCCGATGTCGAGACAGTGATAAGAACGGTGATTAGAGAACTCAGAAATATTTTATGTGAAGGTAAACGGCCATTTTAATTGGTAAAATTCCAATTAAAACGGTATGTGGGATAAATTCAAATCGAATTTCGCCGGGAGTTTAAGGAGATGTAAATAATTCTGAGCGTTCCCAATTTAAATAGTATTTTAAATAATTCTTTTTTGAGATTGATTTTTAATTCGGCCTATCTTGTTTAAATAATATTCAGCTCCAAGTCGTTATAAAACGATAAATACAACGGCTCGAAAAATCTTTGACAGCTTAATCCGATTGTCTAAGCAAATCTAGTGCTGATAAATTTTCCTCAGCATTATGTAATTTCACTCGAATTTTCCGCTACACCGGGAACAATATTTATGAATAATAGAAACAACAATTGATTGAGTATTGCGAAAGAAATTCAACTAATTCCAGGAATTCTTTATTGACGTGAAAGGAAATAATCCATTATTTGGATTAATTTCTTTAGAATTTCTACTATAAAAAGGAGAAAGGAGATCGATTTGAAAATATTTCGAATGACCGACTGAGGCGCGAAAATGAAAAAATTCAAAAATTCAGCAAACTTTGGGAACTGAAATAGCGATAAATCTGAGAGCAGCGGAGATCTATTGAAAGCTGCGATATTTTTAGTTTCAGTGTAAAATGTTGAATAGCGAGTGCTCACCTCGACATCGACTTCCTGGAGGACCGAGGGTGCAGAGCTCTGTCCGTGCCTGGTCCTCCCCCATCCGGCAACAGTAGCAGTTCTTCCCTGTATCTTGAGATTTCTAGCTGGAAGACAGACCGGTACAATGTGCTGCTTGAAAGCTACCGCCCTGGATAACTTAACCAGTGCAACATCATTCCGGAAGTCCGTGGGTGAGTACTGCGGATGCACCTTATTTTTCCCCAAAACCCATTACCCCATTATTCATCATTACGACACGCATTACCCCAACAATGTACACTAAACCACCTGACCAAGTGACAAGTGAACTCATTACCCCACTAACGCCTTCAATTACCTCTTTTCTCTCTATGTTGTACTCCTCGTGGAGATATTTCTCCGCTGCGTCTCGTACGTCCCACTCGCCTAATCTCACTTTGAGATTGTTATTTGGAGTCCTGGGGGAATGCAAGATAAATTATGAGAAATAGTGGGAACTGCTCTTTAAAAATTTGTACTTCAATGGGAAAGAATTACTGACGTTGCGACACAATGTGCAGCAGTCACGACCCATCGATTATTGAGCAAGGCCCCTCCACAGGATAATTTCTTGGATAAAAATCCACTCTTTATTATCGCCGCCTGGAAATTTCAATTCAGTTTCAATTAGAAATGTCCATTAAATTTATAATTAATCCCGATAGTTCAAAGTGAAGTGCAATTTAATTATCAACAGCTTAACAAGAGCTTTAATCAATGCCGAAGTCTCCGGAAGAAGTTTCGGGTTACTTTGTAATTTTTTGAAATGTCAAGAGTCATTTCCAATATTGCAACGAGTGGTCGAAAATCCGGAATAATAGTCAGGCGAAAGGATGAGAAAAAAGTTGAAGATTCTCGAGCGTGTCAGGGACTCTCACCTGCCACGGATGACTGCCGAAGCTCGAGCTGTGTCCACCAACGATTCTGTTACTCCTGGTGTAGAGTTCTCCGCAGCCTGGAATAAAAATTCAAATTTCAATCAATTGCCCGAGAGAATCTTAATCCCCGAGAGCCACGTTTAGCATGAGAGTAAAGAATTAAATGAGAGACTGGTGCACAATTTTCAGCTTCCAGTGGTGGCATTGGTCCTGCCATTCGATATTGACCTCCGGGTTAAGCAGATTGCAATGAAATAGTGAGAGAAAGTCATAGAAGTGCTCGTGCTGGGATCCTTGATTACTGAAGGACTTTCTTGCACTCGTGATTTAAGTTCTACAGGTCCTTATCCTGAGGATAGGATTGATAATCAACGGTAGTACCGTGATGAGGAGGTCGATTGATCTCGTAGTCATCGTCGGGGTAGTAGTTTGGATGACTGGCCTCTGGACGATTTGGATAGCTGTCGTAGGGTGATACCTCGTTCGGACGCTCCTGCTCCCAGGCTGAATACGTTGGCTCGTAAATTCCTGGATCTTCATTAACAACTGGATCGTGATGATAATTCGGACGCTGCGGACGAGTCTGGCTACCGTAGATACGAACATCATCGTCTACGTAAGGACGATTCGACAGGCCCAAGAAGGCTAGAAGTTTTCTTCTTCAAGTTCAACGAATTACACGAATTCACGAGATCACGAATTACTCTCGAAACTTCGAAAATTGAAAATCGAAAATTGCATCCTAACGATTGCTTGAATTCTTTCTTAAAACTTCCGAAAATTCTTACCGCATTTTATTTTTTATCTTCTATAAATTCCTTGAGAAATTAAATATTGATAAATGATAAATGATAAATATGAAAACCACTCACTGGCATTTTGCAGGAGCGCAACGCCGCTGGGCCTTTGCGGCTCCTTTTCTGGAATGTCATCGTCGTCGACACAGCAGCTCCAGATGAGTCCTCCGGAGCACAAATCAACGGGTCTTCCTCCCCCAAGGACACAGCTGATGCTCAGTCCGCACTCGAATCTAGCCCCCTTGTACTTGCACGTCTGAGGGATCACTGGAATAAAATAAAAAATAAAGAGCCATTACTCCCCAGATCCGGAAGTGTCTAACGGTTACCACCACCACCCGCCCTCAACTCATCAACTCAAAATAATAAAAAAATAAAAAAAAACATAAATTGCATTTCCAGTGGAGATTTAGCGCGCGATAAATAGACGGACGTCGTCATTAGCTTTATTGTTGTTAAGTGTAACACAGTGGACACCGGTTGGCAGTCAAGCAGCGAGACGAACTGTTCCTTCATAATAATCATCGATGTTTTTAAGACATACTTCTCCCAAGCATATCCATAATCCCGCTATGAAGATGAGTTGCATGGCCGCGGTTGTCCTCGGTGGTGTAATTGCGTTTTTTCCTGAGGGTTTCAACAAGGAGAAGCCCCTGCTCGTGGCTGGACAATTTTCTTCTCCGTCCATGTCTCCCCCTGGCCTCATCCCCATACTCATCCTCAAACTCCCTGACACTCTGCCCCCGAAGATTCGCCAGAAGACTCTGAAGTTCATTTTGACCACCGGCCTCTGCCTCAAACGACTGGAGATCCGCCAGCTCCGTCTCCATGTCCTCTTCCATCATTTTACTCTGAATCTCGAGATTCTTTCTGTGAATTTTATTGGAATGAGCGGATGACCTCGGCCCGGATGATCGACGAATATCATCGCCCCAGGGATGTCCCTCCACTGGGAAGAAACTCCTCCGCGTGCTCCACCCTGAGGTAATCCTCTCCAGTCTGTTATCACTGTTTCGGTGCACATCCCTTCCCTCGGTCTTTGAAACATTATTTATCAGGACAAGGACCACTAGAACAGCCAGGGAAGAGCTCCGGGGCCTGGGGCCAGATCGGATGATCATCATTTCCAACTTGGAAATGTCTGCACTAATTCGTGCCCTCTGGTAATTGAAAATCCATCGGTAATAATTGATATCGCGATGTGGGGACTTCAGGACATTTTCAAGTACTTGGGTGGAAACTTGACGACGAGCACTGCCACAGGAATACCGAACAACTACCAGACTGTCACAAGTGGCGGTAGCTGGAGTGTCTTGAACGTCTCTATTTGCTTTCACCGACTTTGGCTTTCCCGTACCAACGGCGATGTCGCTTCTTCTTCCTCCAGTGTCCCCCACCCCTCGAGGAATCGTGCTAACAATCATGCCCAATACCATCCTCTGGGGCCTCGCCCTCTTCCTTTCTCCTATTTTCGTACCGTCATCCTCTTGGTTATTCTTCCCGTCGTTCTCCCGGTGTCGGATTATTTCCCGAATTTATCACTTGATTCTCAACTCCCTCGATTATCTCCTAGTTCGATTGAGTTTCGTTTGGACTCTTGACATAATTTCACTGGTATTTTTTTTTAATGAGATTGAGGAAAAATTGCGGGGTTGAGGCCTCGCGTGTTGTCTTTGCGTCACGCTTTGGTGATCATCGTCTTCCTAAAGAAACTTGTCGCTGGGGCGAGTGGATCCTCGCTTGTTGTCCCCTTTCTCTTTCGTGCCAAACAGTCACGTTGAAAAATTAACGCGTGAAATATAACTATTCGTTCTCTTCCGCAACGTGACAAAATTGTATGGGTGGCATGCATGACGATAATGGTGATGTGACCACGCGGATTTTTTAGATCGTGTGACTCCAATGTCGACTCGGCCGTGACGAAGACACTTGGTTACTTCGGAGTTGTTTTTTTTTATCTGGGTACTGCTGGACGACACCTTTCAAGAAAACCTCGCGAACTGGTTTATGTGATATTGATATTAGCGATGATCGAGATTAGGGGGTTTACTTACGTCCTAGCTCGTCGAAGAAACGCCAGGTCGGGATTTCATTACTCGTGACATCCTTCTCGGTTGGGTCTGAAGTTTAAATAATTCATTGTTTATTCACCGGGCTGAAGATGCGAGAATAAATATTTTAAAAAGTAGAAGAAATTTGCAAGAAATTTATCAAAATTCTTGTACTGAAAAATCAGTGAAGGATCGATCGATCAATTTTAGTGAAAAAACGCACCAGTAGTCAAAAATTTATCATTCCTCCGTCCAGCGGCGTCGGTGGAGAGTTCCAGAAAGACAATAAAAATAGCAGCTGCGAGGCGAAAAAAGGCAGTCCTCATCTCACCGGGAAATCGGAGTCCCTGAAACCGTATTTTAGCCGAAATCTCGGATTGATCGTCGCTTCATTGGCGGCCGCTGAGAGGAATCATGGAGACAGTCTCCAACATCATCAGCACAGCCAACGTCGTAGGAGGGAGCCAGGCCTCCCTCACGTTGAAAAATCTTCTTGAATCTCGATTCAACATGTACGCACACAGAATTGTGCGATAAGTGGGACAGGAAAGCAGGCCACTGAAACAAGTGGAACGGCTTTTAGTGCTCGTAGGGAATCAGTGACGTTCACCGCTCGACATGAAATCCAACTTTGCCTCCATGTGTTGGACAATGACGATCAAACGAGTCATTAGTGAAAGTTTTTTCTTCTCGTTCCTTCCCTGACTTTCGACTTTTGATTATTACTGCGTAAGAATCTGGTAATTGTTCGGGGGGCAATTCGGCAATCATTTCCCAAAAAAAAAACTGCCGGTAAAAACACAAATTTGCGGATCACTATGTTTTTTAGGGATATCTCCGAAACTATGGGATATTCTAACATTTTTGTTTAGACCATTTTTTTAGGGCGGGCTCAGATCTACGAAAAAGGTTATTACGAAAATTTCGGGGTCTCCTTTCGTTTTGGAGATAATTACCGGTTTATATGATATCAAAATCTCGCGCCTCGGAAAATTCATCCGTCGTTTTGTAAATTGTAATTTGCTGTGTTTGTTGAACTGTTTTATTTATTTATGAAGGGGAAACGTTCGAAAAATTGTTTTTTGGCTTGGGAAATTTATGCGGGTCAATTGACAAATGGAAAAGGGGGTGGAGCTGTTTTAATTGAGTGTTCCATCTTTAGACTAACAAATTGTTTCAATATTTTCTTTTCAGTTATGACAATGACCGGATGACGAGAGCTCTCTTCGATGGGTGCGATAAGAATATCGAGTACGAGAGGGAAATAAAGAAAGTAAGTGGGTGAGGCCTTAACATTGGTGGGGCCCAAGGGCACTTTCGCCTCGATCAGGATCAGGTTCATTCGGCCTTTCCCGCGAGAAAAAATTTGCACAAAAATTGGCAAACGGGAAGTCAAAATAATAATACGAATTCCATTCTAGACATTCCGCTAATTCTCGACAGATTATTCATTGAGAATCCCTTCATAAAAAAATGAGAACTGAGAATTTTCAGAAAATTCAAGGAAACTCGGCAGTAATTATTTATTCCCGTGAATTTTTAGAGACACTTGAAATTCTAGACTTCACCAGAAATAGGAGAAAAAGTCTTTCTTCTGAAAATTCAAGAGAATAATTTCTAGATGCAGTTATTTTTTTTTAATAATAGAGTACCGAGGATGCGCTGTGCAATTTTAATCCAACTTTTCTCTCTTAGCTGTGGAGTCGGTTCGAATCCATAAAAACCAGTACTTTTACTTCACAAAGAGATAAATATTCCAGTGAAACCCACGATTCACGTTGTCAAAAGCAGACCATGAAATTGGCGGTGTTAAATAGTTTCTTAAATTCTCAAAAAGGGTCTTTTCTTCCAAATAAGTGTAACTCCTTAACTTTTACTTTCCTCGGTTTTTGGTTTTATTAACTTTCCCACCAGCTTTTAACATGACTCTCGATTTAATATTCACATCCTGTGGTTGCAGGGAAAATATAATCACCGAGGGGCTGGGAAAACTCATTAATTCGATAATTTCACTTTATGTTCGCGGTAATAAAGTCACTTTATGTTGGAACTTACCTCGATTACTCGTCGCGTAATGTATTGAATCACAATGGATTAATTGACCGGGGCAAGGGGTGGATTGATTAATTCATGTATTAATGGGCTGAATCGAGTGATTACGATGGGAGGCGCGGGTCCAGGGATTAGGACAGGACGGAACACCGGTGACTACTGATGAGGAACAGAAATATCGTCATTCAGACAACTCTAGACTGTGAACAAGTTTAACAGCCTCCTCACCTCACTCTCTCACCAAAGAATATTGGGACCCCTTCAGTGTATTCAATGCCATCCGTGAGTGAAATCTTGCCTCTCTCATTCCTCTCCTCGCCTTCTCCACTTTCATTTTTTTTCTTCGTATTTTTTTCTCCTTTATCTTCACCCGCACTGAGATAAAGTATGATTTTTTTCGGCGCTGTGATCCCGATGAAATCATGATATTTTCGATTTTCATGGTCTTCTAATACTTTTTCAAAAATTTTGAATTTTCAAATTTCAGTGAGTACTTCCTCCATTTTCATGCTCTCCTGATAATTTTTCAAAAATTTCGACTTTTCGAATTTTAGTGAATACCTCCTCCATTTTCATGCTCCCCTAATACTTTTTCAAAAATTTTGAATTTTCAAATTTCAGTGAATACCTCCTCGATTTTCATGCTCTCCTAATACTTTTTTAAAAATTTTGGATTTTCAAATTTCCGTGAATACCTCCTCGATATGCATGTTTCCCTGATACTTTTCCCAAAATTTCGAATTATCGAATTTCAGTGAATACCTCCTCCATTTTCATGGTCCCCTGATACTATTCACTGAAATTTTAAAATTTTATGGAGTTTTTATTTCCTGGTCCCTTTGACAGCGGGACTGCCGAGTCGGCTGAGGGGCAGACACCCCCATTGTGTGTGACGCCCTCCCTCTCTTAGGGTGCAGTACTACGATGGGGTGGGGTCACTCAAACCCCCAAGACTGTGCCTCTCCTTTAGTCAATCCTCTCTGGTTTTAATGTTGTACCGTATGGTGCTGCCTCCATTTACATCGAAGAAACTTTTCCCTCCGTTCATTCCCAGGAGATGGCGAACTCCGTTTTGACAGATCTGTGTTTTTGATTATGCCACTGTGTAATTGACACTATTTTCGTTTTGCTCATTTTCGCAATAATCAGATCACCTGTTCGCTGAATAAATCATTAACACGAACACCTAAAAAAGCCTCGAAAAATGCAATATCCCGGGTGAATGATAAAATTATTTATCAGACTGAACGAGATATCTACGTAAAACAATCATCTGTCAATTTAATTGCCAGTGAATTGTCATTCAATCGTTGCGGACATGGGTGAATCGGAGAAACCATTCGCCTGCTCCTCTCCAGGGTGTAATATGGTGAGTAAAAATTCATTTACGATTGCATTTAATGTCTCACCGTCCGCTCCATGGACATAACCTCGTTGAACGACCAATTACTCCGATCAATTGAACGTTATATTGTCCAGAGCTTCACAAATGAGGATCATCTGACGGTCCACAAGAAGAAACACGATATGATCCTGAATTTTGGAACCAACAAAACAGGTGTTTTCGTCGGTGAGTGCCTCCAATCATTAATTAAGAGTAACTCATTAAAAAAAAATCTTAATTACCTGTTTTTTTTTAATTATAACTCCTCCCAATCTTCTCCACGAAATTGGCTGTCAAAAATTTTAATTCTTTTCATTCATTCATTTTATTTTATTGTATATTTTTTACCATTACAGCTGATCAAACGCCCACACCAACGAGATTCATAAGGAACTGCGAGGAAATGGGTTTATTTCAGGATTTGCAGAACGTTAATCCGTTCGACGAGACTTTCAGAAGAGCTGTGGAATCGGGGAAACTTGGATCATTACCAGAATCCGAGGTTCACACTTTAGTCATCATGAGTGATTTATTTGGCATGCAGTGTACCGTTAATTATCTGTTTGTTTATTCAATTTTAGATGGTTCAGAGTGATGATACCCTGCACACTCCCCAGGTTTTTCCTCATATCGAGAATGATCAGTCCTCAGGGAGCAGAAAATTATCCTCAGATACCCCTGACGATCCCTGTGAGCTCCAGAAAAATATCGTTGACACGACGACAATCACAAAAACTACTGAGACAGTTGTTATAGAGGAAGCTGACACCTCTGTAACATCTGTTTTAACAACAGCATCCAACAGTCTGTGAGTTTTAATTAATTCATCAAGTTTACTAATTATTTGGCTGGTTATTAGAAATTTGGGGATTGAGTCCTCCAGGAATGAAATTTAATACGTAATTGTTTCGTAATTCAATAATTTTCGTAATTGGGTAGGAAATTTTATTCATTTGACGGAATAGACGATTCTGATTCTGCAGAAGTGGAAGTTTTATTACTGCAACGTCAGGAGAGAATTGATAATTTCCAGATTAATCGAAAATTCATATTTGATTCATTCAATCTTCGCAAGATAAACGAATTGATTATTTCTTTACTATTCATTCTCCTCGGATATTCCCACTCCAGCTCTATCTTATCCGTCAAGTTAGCGATAAATTCCGCGAGTTGTCTGTTCGATTGGCTCTTGAAACATTGAGGAAACCACTGAGGGAATAATTCAACAACTACTTTGCTTCTGCTCGAGTTATTCACTCCCTGAATCTCTCATTTATGCAGATCAATAAACAGAGAGGAACTTCAGCTCATTTTGAAGATGGACGATGGTAAATTGATGCCACTGTCAGCAATTCCAGCTTGTGGTTCAAACAGTGTTTCTGGTATTACCACTCAGCCAGTGGAACCGCAGACTATCGTTATAAAAACAGATTCTCCAGTTAAATGCCCGCAGACTGCGGAATCGAAGAAGGAGAGGCTGTCTCTGGCGAAAATGGTAAATTAATCCAATTGTCACAACTCCGTCATCGAACGAAAATTCCCATATTAAAATTCAAAAAATGAAAAAAAAAATGACAATTCATAATTTTTAAGATAAATCGATATTTAACAAAATAAAAAATTGAATTTCCAGAAATTGAAGCAAGTGCTTATCAAAAACGAGTTTTCTGCTGAGCAAAACCCAAACCTCGAGGAATCTACTAATTTCACCCCCAAAGCTCAGAAAGAAAAACCTCAAGATCCACATAAAAAGCAAGATATTCTCGCGCGAAATCGTGCAAGTTCGATGCGGGCCCGAGCAAAGCGAAAGCAGTGGATCGAGCAGCTGGAAAAATCGATGCAGAACGTCAATGAGTTGAACACAGTTCTCCAGCTGGAGATAAAATCCCTTCGCTCTGAAGTTGCGAAGCTCAAGACCCTTTTGTTGGCTCACAAAGACTGTCCAGTTACCAAGGCCATGGATAAAGGTAAACGAAATTCCACGAAACTCACAGCAACCAAAATTTATTCCCTTTATTTTGATGAAAATTTCAGTTATGGTAAAATGTACTATAAAAAAAATATTTATTTATTTCTACTCACACTATTGCACTTAAATCTGACAAATAGTGGAAATAAAATTTTGCAAATCGTTATGAAAATAATGAATCGTTCCAGACATCATCTTGGAGGCCCAGATGGTCTCAGTGCCTCATTTTCTCGAAGTTCCTCCAAGTGACTTATCGACTCCAGTATTCTCAGAAAAACGAAAATCCTCAAACGACTGTCCAAAATCAGCAAAACGAAGGCCGTCAGTTCTCCACCAGAAGCAATCAATTCTCCTCCCAAAATTCGAGGATAAAAATGTACCGATCTGCGTGACAAAACTCGTACATGGCCCCTCCCAGCCCCTGAAGATCGTAGAGCTCGATAAGAGGGCCAACAAATCGATCCTCATCCTCCAGAACTCCTCTCTGCGAAGGGCCCAATGCCTCAACTCCCGTCAAATTGTCCAGGTGGATCAGAGATTTCAATTGATGAACGTTGCCTCCAAGAGCACTGGAGCCTAGACCCGAACTCAAAAATTGAAGGAAAAAAATACAGAGCTATTTGGACTTCGACTGCAATTCCATCTGGAGAAAATTAATTCACACCGAGTGCTGGATATTCTGTTTTTGGAGGCATGCCCTCGAGAAGTGGTCGTTCAAGTCCAGTAGTCATCCGGAAGCAATTACCTCTCAAAGTGTTCGATACAGAGCCAAATCCATTAGTGTCAGCTGCCAGGGCCATTATAATTTCTCACCCAGTATTAATTATTAGTTCAATTGTTTTATTCGTGTTAATTGCATCGGTGAGTGCATTTTCTGTTGAGTATTTTATTGAAAATAGGCGATAAGTGTTTATTGACAGTTCATTTTCAGCTGTTCAAGTTATAAATAAAGAGGAACATGTGGATGAATCATTTGGGCTTTTATTACTTAGCATTATTCCCTGATGAGTCAAATAACCATTCATTTCTGAAGTACTCCATAATCGAATAGTTTCATCATGTACAATTGCCTTTATTGATTACAATCATTCAGCCCCGTTCACAATCAAAATTATAGATACTGAAATAAACCAAATGAAAATACAAATGAGTTCTCATACATTCCGTCGTTTTTATTAATTATTAACCAAATCGTTAATTTCGGTCAGTGCATGATGAAAAATCATTGAAACACATTATCTCTGTTTATTCAATTGAGTAATACCTCGTGGCCCATTCCAGTGACGTAATCCCTCATTCCAATCTCCAAAAACAAATAAAAAAAAAGCGAATCATCTCAGCTCTCGTGATGATCTCGCCACCAATTAAAAACCAGTAGACCAACAATGATTTTCTCTCGATTTTACGTCCCGTGATGTATATGTAACCCTCGGGCCCTTATCAGTTCTCCGTCCAGTCGAGACGACTATTTACACCGGACAAGGGAATGATAAGGGGCTTTAGGCACGTGCGAAGTCCACCAGAACAAATTCCCCCGAAAAATCCTCCCCACCTGCAGCAATTCTCACATCTTCCTCTCCTCATCCCTGGAAAAAAAAAAGAAATACTCAAACGGAAATACCAGGTATTTGTCAGGGCCGGAAACGCCGAGATAACTCCGTTGAATCGTCATGGGCATGTCTCCAAATATAAAAAGACCAGAAACATTTACAAAAAAAAAAAATTATGAAATAGAATCGACTCACTGTAGCGAGATAGAACGGAGACACTGGCCATCGTCGACTATCGGGTTTACTTTCTCGACAAATATCGTCGACAACGGTTTTCCTATGCCATGATAATAGCCACCCAGCAGCGATAAGGATAAAAACGGCATTGGCGTGTCTCTGCCCCCACAATTCGAAATGTTCTCTCGTTTAAACTCTCGTGTTGTGAGTTTCACACGCATGAACTATTTTTACGCCTCACGATTCTCCCACCTACTTTATACAGAACTTTGAGAAAACCGAACATATATTCTCTCGGTTTACTCATACGTTACTTACTCATAAATAACTCAAATAATCTCCGCCCAGATTACCACAAAAAAGCTGAGACGAGAATGGAGTATTTATCGAGTGAAGGTCTCTTAATTGCGCTATTTTACGTTCTCTTAAGCAGATGAATAGGGGAATATTATTCCTAGTCTTTTGAATTCTCGGTGACAGTTCAGTCTGTCGTTTCAATGTCGTGAAGTTAATTCCATTTGAAATTGAATTACTTAGGAAGTGGCAAAGTGAGATTTATTTTGAGAAATCGTGATTTTACAGAAGATATTAAGAGACCCAGACTTCAGATGCAAGTACTTGGAAAATTCGTTGCTTTTATTTTAGATTCGGAGATAGGCCTCCAACACTTGCCCTTTACTTTAATTTAAATTGGTCTGTACACCGGGAAGTCAAAGCCTCATTGAGTATTCGAGACAGCCATTGATTTTTCAGGAATAAAATGCAGATGAATTTCATGTAAATGTGTAGTTGTTAGTCTGAAGGTTTTTATTTGAAATGTCAAGAGTATTGGGAACTACTGAATTTATAATTTATTTAAAATCGTCTCGAAATCTCTTTCTGGTTATCCCAATGTTGTTCCAACAAATTGTTAATAAAAACCTTCAACAATAAGAGGTAAAAGTGACCATAATACTCTCAATTCTTACACACGAGTCGAAAGAACATTTTTATCAACGAAAATTCTGGGTAACGTAAAACGTGAAGTTTATGTTTTGATTTTAGAGTCCAAACAGAGTTCAATAAATGAAATCCCACGTCACCACTAAAAACACGATATGTCCCAATTATTATTCCTCTATTCATAATGGATTTCTGGCAATCGGATAATTAAAATCCAATTGTAAGAAATTACTCATACAATGACTCAATAAAAAATCCTTCACTGAAATTAATCCCAAACAAAACGAAATTCCGAGAAGAAATTCTCTGTTCAGTATTAGAGTACAGAGCCCCATGTATATGACAAAGAATAAATAGAGTAAATAGAGTAAATAGACTAAATAGACTAAATGGAGTGAATAAAGTAAATAAAATAAAAATCCTCACAATCGTCACGAAAATTAGAATGATTCACCAGTTCTCCCGATAAAGAATCCCATTGTTCCCACCAAATGGTTCAGCCTCGACTAAGAATAACCACAAAGAAAAAGCGATTTCCACATCTTGAACTCGCGCTAAAATTCAATTCCCGAGTATTTTCATCATGTAACACCCAAAAAGTGGAAAAACCACGCTATCAACCACGAGGCAAACACCGGTCACGTGTCAATATCGCGCACGAGCACAAAGTCATCTCCATCTAGAGTACATTACATATTCACATCACAGATGCACATCCAGATATCACGTAATTATCCCCAGGACTCCAATTGTACCCTGGGATACCGAACTCTCGATGTGAAGGAAAATTAAAAGAATATATTCTTTCCAAGTGGAGGATGCAAGTGTTACGGAACAAAATTGCGCTAATGGGATTGTTAATTGGATCTGGTGACACGAGTGGTAGAGGCTCCGGGTGAGTCATCCCCATGGAATTTTTAGGGGAACGATTAATCCGATGGTGGTGAGGGAAAATAATTTGTTTCTTTTTTTTTAAATTTCTCAACTTGCCGGCTGCTCGTCGACGACTGAACTCCCAGCAATTCTCGATTTCCCTTCGCACCCTTATGCCGCAGATGAGGGCGCCATCTTCGTTGCCGCCCCTCTTTACCCGTCGAACCTCGTCACCGTCGGCCTCGTCACCGTCTGTTTCCATCTCCACGGGACACATTTCCACCCAGTGGCGTCGAAACACTAGTTATTCCACTAGATAATGCGCGCGCTGATCTTTCATATTTTTTTTATTCAATTCAAGAGCATCACGCATTTCATATCTGACAGTAGGAAATTTCATTTCATTCCATTTTCATCTTTTCCATTTTTCACAATTGAATAAAAATAGTATAATAATAATAATAATTATTATTATTATATAATTTTGTCATTTCATCATTTAATTTTCATTAAATACCTCGAACTGACATTTGCAAAAAAAGTCAAAGCAAAACTCGCGGAATAGCAAAATAAATCCATGGATATTCCGTTAAAAAATTGTGTAAATTGGTGGAGTAAATGCTAATTAAAAATCGAACCCGTGATGAATGAGAACGGAATCAAAGAGCCATTTTTTTTTTATTGGAATCATTACCGAATGATTCCAATGAAAAAAAAATGGCGATACAATATGCCGTGAAAACGCGGAAAACCGTATTTCCGCACAATATTCCCTCGTCACGGCTGACGTACCACTTTATTACGCCTCCCACAAATTTTCACCCCCCTCCGACACGCGAGCTCACATGATTAAGGTGAGAATAAAGCACCGAACGTTGAGAAAAAGATGAAAGAAGACGAGGGTGGAAACAAATGTGCGAGGGTTCTCTGGAAGCACTCGTGCGACCAACAGCCGTTAACCTCCGGTGCAGCTAAATCTCCATCGTGTTGACGTGGTCCCCACCACCACCCCGGAGGAACCAAGGGGGTGAAATAACCCTTGCGACTCGTTTAATCCCGCGCAGTGGCCACTGCCACGTCGCACCCCCAAGTCCATTTTTTTTTTTTTTCATTTTTTGTTAGACTCTCACTCACCCCTCCGGAGAATATCTCCTTGGACCATCCAATTGGCCCATCCCCTCGGCATAATGAAATTGACGGAAAGTGGGTACCACCTTTTTTTTTTCGGTAGAATGGGGTGACCCCTCCCCCTCTTCAAATACAGCAGCGCTAATCGAAGGGAAAAAAAAATCACTTCACGTGGAGCTTTTTTCTTTTTTCCTCCACTCGTTTTTTACATCTCCCTCCATTCTTTCGCCTTTTTACTCCAAACGGGAAATGGAATCGTGGGATTTATTAGGTACCATCCACCGCGCCAGTTCTTTTTGTTCTCTGACCTTTCGATTTTAGGGTTTTTTTCTTTTTTTTTTTCCCCTTTTTCAGGCTCGGGTTTTTGATGGCTCTCTCTTTCTGTCGGCTGGGATTCGACTCGAATTATGTAGAACACGTGTCTGGCACTGGTGTACGGCATATTTTATGGACGAAATATGGCTGAAGTGCGCGGGTACTCGTTGCGGTTCTGTTTAGGATGGAATTGTGGACCATTTTTGCTGGGATTTTTGCTTCTCCACCAGGCGATAATACTAGGGATTCCTGGTTTGCATTATTCTGGTCGATCTGCAAACAAACAGTGCGGGAATGTTTAATTAATGAAGCTATTCGTCTCGATGGTGATTGCAATTATCAACAAAGATTGAGGCATGCTGGGGAATAATGCAGGAATATCTCATATCTCGAAATCCAAAGGAGATATCACTATTTTGCATAAAAAACAATTTGTTGAGTGTTAAAAGAGCTACAAAAAATGTTCCCATGAAATTTCCGGCATCTCTCTTAGATTTCCAGATATCACTTGAAAACCTTTTTGGAAAATCAATTAACAAACCAGATTATTTAATTATTTCATTGAAGTTGCTTTTGTTAATATCTTCAGTTGAATATAGTTTTTTTATAACGCACTGGAGGATTAATTAAAACATGACAGCCCCTCGATTCGATATGCTAATGAGTCACATTGTATTCAAACTAAATTCCCCTGTTTTCATAAACTGTCAGGATGACGGGGTCAACTGTCTAGTGATGTCGAATGCTTAAATCGATTCTCGAAATCAATGAATCCGAAACACTCGAGCGAGTCAAGGAGATTATCTCCATCTGTAATCTCTGTTCACCCGGGGGTAGGAGAATTCAACCGGAAGAGTCGTTTCTCCACCGCTGTCACAGCATTCATTGGTATTTTTTTTATCCACAGATTCCAATTCCCGTTCATAACAGACTGAACTGACGCTGGACATTTCCTATTGAAATCTCAAAGAATAGAAATTGTAACCACTTTAATCTCCCATACTCCTCTATCAATACAGAATTCTGTATTCTATCAATTTTAATTTCAATTTTGCCATCTTTGTATTTTTATAATAAATATTAGAGATTATACCAGATTGTACTAAATGTTTTTCATAAACAAATTAAGGTTCACTTTATATTTCGTTTTTGTGGAGCTTTAGGACGGATTTGAGAGGTAATTGAGGAAAAATTGCAGGAGACGATTGGGAAAAATTGTTAAATTTCCATGGGTGGTTAATTTTTCCTCGTTTTCTTCGCAGACCTCTGAACAATATAAATATAAATATAACAAGAAGGCAGAGGAAGAGAGGAGTGGACGTTTGGCGACCGTGCCCGACC